CTGTGTGTCAGCTCCTCATGTCGAGCTGTTTGTTTACATCAGTGCATTATTGCACAGCTATTAATAATTAGCTCAGTTTTCCTAATAAATATCACTTCTGTAAGAGAAACATTTCAGCCCAGTCTGTGGGTGGGAGGGAGAGCTTTGCTGTTTAGCTGGTCAGCATCTGCTCTGTCCTGCTTTTTAGGTTTCTAGTACTTCATTGGGACATAAATGAGAGGGCAGCCTGTGTGGGAAGTCTCTGTGGACTTTGTCACAGTGACAGATCTCGATGTGGCCTCAGAGAGGACTGGAGTTAGCAGGGATGGCCTAAGGCTTTCAGGAAAGATGAGCATTTTACTGACAGCAATTCCAAGCGGATTGAATTGCAAATGTTACCCCTGAACCAGTTTGCTGATAAGGCCTGTAGCTCTCCCAGCATCTGCACAAGTCTATTTGCCCAGGATACTCCACATACTTGTTTTTCAGGCTGATAAGGGAGCAGTGTTAAAGAAACACTTGTAGCAATGAGTGTGTTCATGTCATTTATCAAACTCATTCCAGACTCACTCTAGTAGAGGCCTCTCCAATAGCTGTGACCCTTAGAAGCCAAAAAATGCAGTGGGAATGTGAGAAATGAGGAAAAACTGGGCACCAGCGTGGTATGTACTCACTCACCACTCACACAGGTTTTGGAGAGACCAAAATGAAATTAAAAACTTGCAAGTTTCCTGCAGGGCCCTGACAATGAAAACGCCAATCCCCACATGGAGGAACTACAGGTAGATTGAAAGAATAATGCCCAAACTCCTGACTCACCACATTTTCTCCTCTCCCCAGGGGAAGGCAGACAGGTGGTCACACGCTGGGCTGGGGCCAGTTGTAAGCGAAGCAGATTCCACGTTGCTGGGCTCCTCCACATTCTCTATCAGCTGGTACAAGACCTTTGTGATGAGCCCACCAGGACAGGCTCTTTATAAGGACAGACCTTTGATCAGTCAGCTGCAAATGCTGTACTGGAAGGTATAAAAATGTCACTGATAATATAAAATTTCCAAACTGTTTAATTGCGTCCTGCTTTGTGCCCATGGGGTCAGCAGCCCAAGTACTGACGTGCTGGTGCCCTGAAGACTGAGGGACAATAAAACCCCCTTTACTGCACGAAAGTATCTGGAGCAAAAGCTGCTTTTGCTGTTAAGGGTCAGGAAGGGGCCAGGATAACATTTATTTACCCAGTCTGGAAGTATGTCTATTGTTGGGGAGCATGGGCATGGCATATACACCAGGTCTGTCCCAGTGAGAGAGAATAAATCTGCACCAGCAGAGTCCTGCACCTGGGCAGACTGCAGGGAAAGGTGAGAGTCCAGGAAAGCTGCACAGAGCCAAACCAGGAGGGAAATACCTGCCCAAGTCTTAATCTCCAGAACCAGCCAAATACTTGGATCCTAAAGGCACTTAAATCCATCTGAAATCAGATGTCTGGGTATTCTTGACCCAAGACCAAGCTCCTTCCCAAGGGGACAAATCTGCCAAAGCAGCTCACTCCTGACCCACAGCATTGCAGCCCTTCCTGCTCTGGGCTGAGGGCAGAGCAGCAGCTCTGCTGCCCTCCAGAGTGGGTGACACAGCACAAACCCCTGTGACAGACAGGTCTGGGGTGCTGCCATCCAACCTCCCTGAGGAATGGCTGCAACCTGCATCCAGGGCTAAGGAGGTGGGTTTAGTAGTTTTGAATGGCATTTGAAAAGCCACCATCAGCACCATTAGCAGTAAATGGTGCCTTTTACCGAGGGTTTCTGATCTCTGGGATAACTGAGCCTCTGCCCTGACCAGGACAGGGAATGCTCTGCATCCAGGTGGGAGCAAAAAACCCCATCTGGCCCCTCAGGAAAACCCCTCCAGCTTCTGTGAACCCCCCAGCACAGGGGGAGAGACGAGCAGAGCAGCCCTGAGTGGGGAACTGGGAGCAGGACTGAGGACACGGCCTCCTTAGGCCTCCCCATCCTTCCCTTTGGGCACGAGCTCCTTCCAGCAGCACAGTTGTCAAGTCAGCAGTTGGGGCAGATGGACTTTCCGTTTTAAGCTCCCTGTTTTTTTCCAAAGCCACAATCTGGAATCTGCCCACAGGGAGAGTATTTCTTCCAAGAAAAAAACCCCTCAAGAAACCAACAAAAACCAAAACCCACGAAAAAAATGTGACTGAGGGAGCAGCAATCTCTCTGCCCTTCAGTCAACCCCACAGGAGATGCTAAGTATTTTATCTGCTTTTTTAGCCTTATTGGTTGTTGTAGCAATGACTTCCTAAATGCTCCCCAGCAGAGCACAGATCCTGGCATGGCAGGGAGCTGCCAGTTTCCCAGTGATGGAGAAAAATCTGAAAGGGGTTGCTCCACTTAATCCCAATTATGAGTCTTGACCATGGGTCCAAGTTCTTCAGCCGTTCCTGATCCTAAAAACCCTCCAACAATATAAACCCAAGTTTTGTAGTGCCTGCTGGTACTGAGGAAAAGAGAAGTCAGCCCTCCCCTTTCACTGCCTTCCCACTGGGGAGGTCCAGAGTCCTGGAAAGAGTCCTTGGAAGGTGCTGAGGGATCTGATGCACACATGGTACTGGAGAGCAAAGCTTTGAACAGGGAAACACAGGCTACGGATCCACACCTGAGGTCCAGGGAAAAGGGGACACACATTTTAGGTATCCAGAGGGCCAAACAAATTATCTGACTGGTAAGGACTGAAATCCACCTGGCAGCTTCTCAGGGCCCTCAGAAAGCCCTTTGCCACTGGACATTCCTGGTCAGTGTCCTGGTAAGGACAGCTGCTCCCTACGGAGATGCTGCTGGCTCTGCAGGGGGATGTTCTGCACAGCTGGGGAACGTGCAGGGTGTCACAGCCCAGGGCCAGGCCAGGGCAGGAATAATCCATCAGCTGAGCTCCAGGTGTGGTCATGTTGTCTGACTCAGGTGAGGGGAGCAAAGGGAGCGAGGCAGCAGGAAAGGGGTGAATGGCTGCATCCTGAGCTCAGCTTAACTCCTTCTCCCTCCCTGCACACAGGACTTGCTCCTTGCCAAGCAGAGCAGGAACTGCTCCCACTGTCTGCATCCTGCTGCCAATAGAAGCCTGGACAGCAGAGAAAAGGGGAGGGGGGAGAAATGTCACTCAATGTCACTCATCTCTGTGCAGATCACGTTTCACTGTGTTAAACTCGGTCATCACTGTATCATCCCTCACTCCTGGGGTCAGCGCTGGGTATTTGTCCCTCATGATCCCCCTCTCCCCAGCTGTAACACAGCAGCCCTTTGGGTCACACTGTAGCTGGGAAAACCTGGAAGGTGCTGGGAACATCCATCCCCAGTGCCCTGCTCCTGGCAGCCACCACAGGGTCTGCAATGCTGGGAATGATTTCCTCTCTCTCTCAGCCAAGCTTGCTCTGCTACTGAAAAGGGGGTTCAGGTCCATGGAACTCGCGTTTCCAGTCGCATCAGCAGGATGGAGCTGAGGCAGGACACGGAATTCATCCTGGCTGCAGGAAGGGCCCACAGGTAGCCAGGTTTCATGCCTACACCCAGGATATCTGATCTACCTCTCACAGCAGAAAGCAGGAATTCAATACATCTTCTGGACACATGAGGATATTTTATCTGTGGGACCAGGGGAAAGGTGAAGGGCAGCAATGTGAGATGTGTTCTAGCAAGACCAAGGGCTCCCTTCTCATGACACTCATATCTCAGTGTAAGCAAATTGCTATTCCATCTGCTATTTAATTTATAAAAGCAGCAGCTGTTGCTTAACTTGAAGCAGCAGCACAAATTCTTGCACCCCAGAAATCATTCAAGATTTTACACTTGCATCCTTTGGGCAGGAGGACTCTTGGAGGGGATCTTCTCCCAAGGAATTTCCCAAGTGAACTGCGACAGTGACAAGGACAGGTTCCAGAGCCCTGTGTGCTCTGTCCAGAATGGCTGGAAATGGGAGAAGAGTTTGCATATTCACAGTTTTACACAGTGGAGTAAAGTGGAATTCAACACCCACCGCAGGACAGAACACCCAAGTGTGGGACAGAAAAGCCCAGACTTCCCCCAGTTTTAACTGTGTCATCCCAGTGCCATCCTCACTGGCATTTGTGCAGTGCTCCTGCTCTACCCTCACCTTCCCCCCCTCTGCTTCACTCAGCACACCCTTCACCTGTTTCCTCCTTCCCACCCCTCTCCTGTTGGTTCTGTTTGCCGTGTGCATCCCGCGGGCTCCAAAGCTACGGAAAGAAGAACGTTGTTCGTGTGAGATGAAAATAAAGAGACCTTTTGCAAAACATGCCCTTGAGTCCAGATTTCACACTCAGTGAGGTCACCCTGGAAGGGTTTCCCACTCATTATTTACAAGACTTCATACACGTATGAAGAATAAATGTAAATTGCTTAGAATCCAGTGTTTTATGTGAACCTGTGAATAACATCCCTCATCCTGTTTGTGCCTCCCACTTTGCAGTTTTGGGCTGCTGGGTGAGAACCTGTAATGTGGGAATGGACTGAACAGGAAAACTGGGCTGATCACGCTCGCTGGGCTGGCGTGAGAGGAACAAACACGTTAATTAATACAAGGGAACTCTCTTTTCATCCCTTAGACAAAAACACCCCCTCGGCGGAAAGAAGCTGAGAGCAATTCCCCGTGTGTCCACAGCTTGTCGCTCTCTCACTCCACAATGCCAGATACTTCCCAGCTTCGGGAAGCACTGAGGTCTCAGGCACAGGGAGGCAGAACTCAGGATGCTGCCCCAGGACCTGTGCTGGACAGCCCAGCACATCCCACGACCACAGACACAGGAGGCAGGAATTAATCCCAGTGCTCCACTTGGTCCCAGACCCCTTGGATTGCTCAGGCAGCTCCAGGTGGGAGCTGCTCTGTCCCAAACATTACATTACTCTGTCAGAGTTCCTTCCCCTCCACCCTCTGCACTTAAACACAAGCACAAACCGAGTGCAGGAAGAGCAGAATTTTAAATCAGCATAAATGTACAGAGTCCAAACTGTTTAAAGTTAAAGTTTATTTGTACTCTTTGTAGGAATATCAATAAAAGTCCTCAAATGTATCTGTATCTGTACATATTACAAGAACCTTCAAAAATTATTCACAGAACAAAAATAAATCTTCTTTAGAACAAACCCAGGCAATGAAATGCAGAAATGGATCTCAGAGACCAAACAGTCCAGTGCTATGAGCATAAAAATACAGCTTGAAAAACAAGTTTCCTTTTTAAGGTGTACTTTGTTGAAATAAAAAATAAATTATTTAGAGCTATCACTGTAAAACAGTTCTGTGTAGTAACACTCTTATTAAGGCCCTTGAGACAGAAAGTCTTATTTTTACAGGTAGGATTCCTGGCAGGTATGATCTGTAAGGACATACTCACTCTCCTGGGAGTTAACTTACTGTGGAGAAGGGAACACCTAAAATCATTGGCCTAAATTTAACCCTTTTTCCTCTGGCAGACTCAGCTGCATGACTTGTGGCTGACCAAGCCAATCACTGATGGAAACACATTTCGTGGTCCAACCCGGACAGGAATTGTTTTCCAGGAACAACACAGACATTTGTGCAGAACACAAGCAGAATTCACACACACACTAGGTAAGTATTGCTGACACATCCCACGGGCATGGTTGGACAACTGATGGACTTCAAGCCAAAAGCTGGTGGACTTAAGCAAGCATTAAAACATGAAATTAAGGTATCACGGGAAATAAAAACAACCTAAGCCAACCCAAAGCAATTGCATGAACATAAAATAAACCCCATTTCTCGGAGGATTTATTAGATGGATAAAGAATTTGTTAGTGAATGCACCTCATATTCTCTAACTAGAAAATACACACATCCCTTTCCAGGCCCCTGTAGATCCCCTGATTGAGTTATGCCACTGGAGAGGGACGTGGCAAAATGTGTAGCTGTACAAATCTGTGCTTTTATGCATAGCTGCCCATTTCTGATACAGCAGGGAAAAAACAGCTGGTCATTCCTGGATGTGAACTCTATCTCCCTTAGAAAAAAAAAAGGTTTGAATTCCTAGAGTTGCAAAGAACAGGGATTTACAGGATGCTGCCTCTAAGCTGTGCTCTCAGTGCCTATCCCATGTCACTCTGGCCACCTCTCACACACTCTGCAGACACCACACACAGCGTGCCAAGAGGCCACACACAAGAGGCTGCTCGGCTTCCCTGAGCACTCAGAAGCCTGGATGGCTTCGAGGTTTGGGAAGAATCCTCCTGGAAAGATATTAACACAGCCAGCACTGACAGAGACGCCAGGATGGGGTGACTTTCCTGTTCAGTCTGAGGAATACACGAGTATTCCTTCCTCCTGCAGGCTATTCCACTTTTCCTGCCCTCTTTCATCTGTTCCCAACCGAGAGCAGCAGTTCCTTGCACAGCATTAGACACAGCCCAGTGCCTCTGCTCAGATTACAACGCCAAACTCGGTGTCTGTCATGCTCCCCATCTCACACATCACTGTTCCCTCCCTCGCTGCTGCAGAACCCACTGGCTACGAGTCTGACCCCAAACGTGTGCAGGCCCGGGCAGGGCTCCTGCTCCTGAGCAGACACGTGGTTTAGTGCCACTTGAGTTTTTATCAGTCTGGACAAAATAGGAACTGGCATTTTCACATATTGTCAGCTTGAGGCAGCTGAAAATTTCTCTGGGAAGCTGCTCGGTAACAAATTAGGAGAGACAGCTGCCAGGAGCAGAGTGTTTTGTGCTGCAGCTGATCAATTCTAGTCTTGAGGCACTGAGTCTGCAACCCTCACCCCCTCTGGGGTCAGCAGGCAGCAGCTCCTCAGTGGCTGGACCTGGAGAACACTTTGCACCTCAGGGGAGAAACTGGAACAGGAGAGAAACCATCAGCCCAGCAACGAGCTGTGAGGATGATACTGATGGGTCAGACTCTTTTAGAGTCACTACTTTTCCCTACAAACTTGAGAAACACACAGAAGGGACATTGTTAGAGCGATGCACTACCGAAGCAGATGATCAGGCCTCACCAAAACAAACTGATCCTGGGGCAGGGATCATCTCCCCTCTAAAAATCCGGGCTGAAATTCTGCCCCCATTGCATTTCACTGCAGAAACCAAAGTGGACACCTCAGAGCCTTCAGCATCAAACCACACAACTCAGCCAGCCCCTCTGCCAGCACCAGGGTGCTGGGGAGCTCCAGCAAAAGGCATTTCCCCAGTAAATGCCAGACTAACACTCCAAGAATGACACATCTGCTTCTGCCTTGCTCTGCCAATGCAGATCAGCGTCCTCACACCTCAGGCACAGCACAGCCCCCTATCCACACACTGCAACGAGTCAGCAATGCACATGCCCATCCCAAAAGGCTACTTTTGGGAACACATTTCCAGTGCTGCAGCTGTGAAATTCCAGCACAGAGCTGTGGGGAGATGCAGGTCCCACAGAAATACTCCACAAAGAGGGGGTTGCAAAGGTTTCGTGTCAAAGAGCCACTCACACGACAGGTTAACACAGACTCGAGAGGCTTCTACGGCTGCGACACATGAAGGGAGAAGGAAGGAAGGAGGAACTTAAAGGCACAGTTTGAGGAAGAAAATATCAGAGGTCAGCACGGACCTAGAGCTGGAAGACAGTTTGGAAAGAATGGAAGAGTAATCACTGCTGAGCAAATGCAGAGCACAAGCCCAGGTGTGTCCGTGCTGACCCCAGGCAGGCCAGGGCTGCTCCTCAGCCTTCAGCACCAAGTCACAACCCAGCAACCAGAACAGCTTTGATCTCAAAGAACACAGCACTAAACACCAATCCCAACTGGCTGCAGACTAATGAGCTCCAGAAGGCCTTGCTATTATTGATCCACACCCATCCTACAGCGCAGGACACGGGGTCTCTGCACGGATGCACAGTCAGTCACGGAACGCCCCGGGGTGATAATGGTAACTCAAGTATCGTGACACAAGCGTCAGGCACAGCAGTTACACACTGCACCCACCAGCTGCATTCACACAGAGATTCATTCATTTCCAAAAAAAACCCAAGCAAACCTGACAACCAAATTTGGGTCTTAGTATTGCCAATAATTCACATGCAAGAAACCGGCTTAGAAACTCCTGCGTTTTTCGTGACACATCCCACACCCCTCGAGCTTTTGTCTCCAATTCAAGTAAACTTTTTCCAATTTCCACAACATGGTGTGAATGGTTAATCACACTCATTATCAGTATACTTCTGTAATTCAAGATTTCAATCGCTGCTGCAATAAGTTTATTTGCTGTGAGTTTGAGGGGCTAGAAATGCACAGCAAAAACTGGAAGTGAAGATTCACGTGCTGTTACATGACTCCAGAATCTGGGGCTTTTTTTAAAAAAACCCCAAACCTTCAGATTAAATATTGTGGCATTTGATGAAATCACGAGAATTGACAATACAAAGCCATTTACTGTTCATCTGTTACAGGCTGTGAATGTCATTATCTCCCAGGAGAAGGTCACTTTGGAATGATATCCCATTCACACACAGCCTGTAAGCACGCTTCTATGAAATGCAACTGGAAGGAATTGGAGACAAAAGCTTAGTCAAAACTCCTCAAGAAAAACTGGTGTCTACAGAACTCAAAAAAAAAAAAAAAAATCATCCCTTTAAAGTATCCAGAGAAAGGAAAATTTCAGTGGAAACCGAAGATCTCTTCACACCTTTAATTGCAACTAGGCTGGCTAAGCAAGTGGCTGAAATAGTGAAAATGAGTGAGTGTTGAAATACAGAAATCCTCTAGAAAAAGGGAATTTTGCATATGGAATCTCCTGTGCTGGGCACGAGCACCCTTGGATTAGCCCTTTCCTGAGAGCATTAACCTGGTTGTTCCGGATGGAGCGCAGAGAGGGAATTCAGGGTGCTGCTGCACAGTGACTACAGCTGGGACTGGCTATAAATTGTTAAAAAATTATTTACAGGTCTGTAAATTCTCCAAACAGAAAATATAAAACTGCATCAGTAAAAAAAAAAAAGAAAGAATCCTACTAGGAAATCCTGCAGATTCCCTCTGTCTGACGGGAAGCCTGACTGTGCAAATGCAAGGAAACCAGGTTGCTGCTCCCACTTTGTACCTTGTCAAAATCGTCAGAAATAGTATTTTTTTTCTGGAGTCCTCTTGAAAGCAGGTACAGGACACAGCAAGAGTCAGTTTTCTTGCTAAAATGTTTGCTATCGAGTCCGAGTTCAGTTAAAGACCAGCTGGGGAGGAGGGGAACAAACCCAGCCGATGGGTTTTCCTATGGAATCCATTTCATTCCACTCATGTCCTCCCATCAGCCAGATGCTGCCTCAGGTACCACTGCTCACCTCTCACAACACACACACACACACACTCCCCTCTTCCTTCTCCCACGACTGCAGTGCTTTCAACAAGAGAAAACCATAATAATAATAACAACAACAACAACAACAATAATAATAATAAAAATAGCAATAATTAAAAAAATTTACAGTATTCACCTCCTTTCGGTATTTTACATTGGCATTTTCTGTACACGACCCAAGAGCTCCCTCTATTTACACAGTGATCCAGGAGGACTTGTTCTCAGGAGCCTGGTTCTCCTGGCCCTGAGTGGGGAATCAAAGCCCACCCTTCAGACTCAGTTTTTCAACTTTATTAAACTGAAAAAATGTACAATACTTTATTAAATGTACAATACTATCCTTAAAACAATCTTAAATACAACTTCTTTAAATACAACCTTAAAACAACTTTAGAATAACTTTAGAACAAAATTTTTTTTTCTTTTTTTTGCTTTGCAAACAGAACAGTTTTTAAACAATAACTTTCCAACCTTTTTAAACAATAACTTTCCAACGTTTTTAAACAATAACTTTCTAACCTTTTTAAACAATAACTTTCCAACGTTTTTAAACAGTAACTTTCCAAACTTTTTAAACAATAACTTTCCAACCTTTTTAAACAATAACTTTCCAACATTTTTAAACAATAACTTTCCAAACTTTTGAAACAATAACTTTCCAAACTTTTTAAACAATAACTTTCCAACATTTTTAAACAATAACTTTTCAAACTTTTTAAACAATAACTTTTCCAAACTTTTTAAACAATAACTTTCCAACGTTTTTAAACAATAACTTTCCAAACTTTTTAAACAATAACTTTCCAAACTTTTGAAACAATAACTTTCCAACATTTTTAAACAATAACTTTCCAATGTTTTTAAACAATAACTTTTCAAACTTTTTAAACAATAACTTTTCAAACTTTTTAAACAATAACTTTCCAAACGTTTTTAAACAATAACTTTCCAATGTTTTTAAACAATAACTTTCCAACGTTTTTAAACAATAACTTTATAACGTTTTTAAACAATAACTTTCCAATGTTTTTAAAGACCAATAACTTTCCAACCTTTTTAAAAACCAATAACTTTCCAACGTTGTTAAACAATAACTTTCCAATGTTTTTAAACAATAACTTTATAACATTTTTAAAAATAACTTTCCAACCTTTTTAAAAACCAATAACTTTCCAACCTTTTTAAAAAGCAATAACTTTCCAACCTTTTTAAACAATAACTTTCCAACCTTTTTAAACAATAACTTTCTTAAAGTACAGAACTATGTACAACAACAACAGCAGCGAGGATCTTGAGTCTGCTCCGTGTCGGCTGTTCCGCGGAGCAGGGTCAGAAGCTGCTGTTCTTGAATTCACCATTCTCCGTGATGGAGAGCTTGGGGGGGTTCCCATTGCGGACGTGCATGGTGTAGCGCTCCTTCACCTGCGTCAGGGCGCTCATCAGCCGCGTGTTGGCCGAGTCCAGGAACTCGATCCGCTTCTCCTGCAACAGAACCCCACAGCGTCAGAGCCTCCCCGCGGCCTCGGCGGGAGCTGCTTCCAGGCAGAGGTGGCTGGGCCAACATTCCCCGGTGAGATGGGCTGCCTGCCTCTTTCTGTTTTCCGGGGGTGCCACGGGCTCCGCTCCGGCCCTCCTGGCGTGGTGGAAGGCACAGCGAGTCCCGCTGACATCGGTGAATTGATCCAGCCGTGGGATCACCCAACCCCACCCAGCCAGCAGGACTTGGCCACAGGGGAGCCGGAGGGCGTGGGGGGTGTCGGTGTTAATGACAACGATAGCCAATTTAAATATTGCTCTTAAAACCGTGTCAGAAAAACAGAAACAGGCGGCAGAAAACAAAAGTGGGGGGGGGCTTTCGTCTGGCAGAGAACACAAGTGGTGTCTACCAGCCATCGTCTCCGTATTTTGGATGGAGTGTGCTCAGAGTAAACTCATGGGATGCTTGAAATAAATAAATAACAATAACAATAAAAAAAAAAAAGCGGATAACGGCAGCCTGCGGTGACGGTGCAACAGCAACACAGAGAAGCAGCAGCCAAAAGCTAACGCTCAGGGGGTATTGGAGGCGAGGGGGACAGGGCAGTGTGGGTGGAGGGAGATGCCATCGACAAAACACAAAGAACAAACACGGAACACGCGGCTCCTAGACCCATTCCAGCTCAGGGGGCTCCCGGGCTCCACGAATCCGCGTGCCTGGTTAGATTCTCCTTGCACAGAAGGTGCCAGCCTCAACTTTCAGCAGACAGCTCCAGGATGGGGCCTAAATTTATATAAGCCATCCCCAGTCCCAGCCTGCTGGCAGTGGGGTATCTGCAGTGGGATACAGCACCGGAGGGACAAGCCAGGGAGTTGGCGGCACAATCAGAAATGACAATTTTCATCTTCCCTAAAAAAATAATAATGACAGTGCAGCCACAGAAAGCAGCACTAGAAGTCAGCAGAGAGGTAACTGTGCTCTCCGTGCTACCAACTTGATTGGCTTTTGTTCTTTGAAAAGGGAAAATGTCTAATTTACTCGACTGAAACAAGCTGTGTGCAGGAACTCTTCCCAGTCCAGCCCACTGAGAAACAAAATGGAGGGAAAAAACGATGCAGGGAAGGTACAAACATTAAGGAAGTTCAGACACAGCACACAGGAGACCCACGAGCTACCACAGGCCCTTGGGATTCAGATCCCAGCACATCAGTGTGTGCTACAGCACTAATCAGCAGTGTTTGCTTTTCTCAGCGGGCTCCCCCACAGGGTTAAGTGCTCAGGGGCAAAAACAAGGCAGGATTTAGGTCCTGCTTCTGTTACAGCCCTGAAGAGACCAAGCTCTGTGTAAATAAACAGAAGAGGAAGCACAAGGCACAGAGGCCTGTTCGAGCCCTCCTCCTGATCCAGTTGATGGGAGCAGGGAGAACACAGAGCAGGGGAGTTCCAGGCCTTTCCTCTCCTGTGCTGAAATGAACCCTGCAGAACACAACTGCCTCAGCAGGAATGTGCTCCTCAGCAAGGCAAAGCTCCTACTCCTAAATTTCACCTGGAATATGTAATTTAAAATGAAAATTTTCTCTCTCTGAAAATTTTTCTGAAAAATTTCTGCAGAGTCTTTCCTGGGGGTTCAGAATAAAAGGCTGGTTTGTTTTCTGGCCCTGATGAGCTCTCACTGAGCCACTCTGTAAAAGAGCTGGAAAGCTACACTTGGAAAATCCATCTGAGCTTGCTGAGTAGAGGCATCTTCTCACTGAAAGGAAAATTAGACCTACCAGGCACATCTGTAACACGCTTGGATCGGGCACAGGGAGCGGGAGGAGCTGGAATGGGTAGGAGGGCAGTGCGCTGGGCCAGGACTGGGGACTGCTCAGCTAGAGAACTGAGTGGGTTTACTTGCCTGTTGGAATTATCTCATCCCCATTTATGACCTGTAATTTAACACAGCGGAGATGTCACTTGCAATAGCAACTGGGCCAGTATTCTTTGCAGCTCCGCTGCTCCCAGGAGAGACTTTAGTCAGACCAATCCCCTGCTTGGTCAGAGACCCAGAGCCAGGCTCTGGACCCACCCGAGGTGCTGCTCAGGGTCAGGAGAGCAGCTCGTGCCCTCTGCCAGTGCCAGTCAGCACAAAATCCCGGGTCAGTGCTGCTCCTGGCAGCCTTGAACTCTTCAGCCAGGTGGGATGGGCTGGGTTCCAACTCCAAGAATTTCACATTAAAAAAACCCTTTCCTCTTCTAGCCACTGAAGGAATCACAGACTAAATAAAATCTTCCAAGCACAACTTCAAGGGATTGCTACAGAACCCAGCAAGCACCTGGGCTCCTCTGGTGAGTCTGTTCTGAATTTTTCACCAGTCTTCTCCTCTGCTCAGGTACCCAAGGAAGGGCAATGACAACTACACTTCCCCCATGGCCTGGCATGCCCATGACAGTGAAGCAGTTAAGGTTTGCTGATCACCTTGCTTGTCCAAGAAAAACAGAGTCAAATTAAAAGAGGAATCATTACTGCTGCTGTTTTGCTCCCATTTTTTTCGCAATTCCCCACGCAGGTCATAAATGCTGCATCGTTTTATGAAGTGTGATGGAGGATCACCCCCAGCCCTGAGGGTTTGAAGGTCTCACAAGTCAGCAGTGGCCCCTCTGATAGCTGGTGACACTGGGATCAGACTGGTCCACGCTCTGCCTTGCTATCCATAACCAACACCGAGGCTGGGAGCCCCCTGGCACGGACAGGTAACAATGGGAAGGGCAAGTTTCCTACTCAGTCACAATCTCTCAAGTCCTCCCCTCCAAAACACACTTTTCATGTTTGCTCAGTGCCTCTTCCACCTTCTTGAGGCAGATGAAAAGTGTGTCACCCCCTTTGGAACCCAGGCTGCTGTCCGGATCAGCTGCCATTCCATGATGTGGAACATGAGATGCCCTGACTGTGCCTATCTCCAAAAAAACTGCCCAGCACATTCACATCTTTAAAAAAAAAAAAAAACAACCAAAACCTGCTATAAATATGTGTTACCAGGCTTTTAAAAACACAGGTTTTTGCTGCTTTATATTTTTCTCCAGTTCCATGTGAATTCAAACATTTCTAATACCCCAGTGCCATCTTTAACCAATAGAGGCTCCCCCATCATCACTCTTTGTGTAGGGAAGCAACTTTCTGACATAACTTGGGTTATTCCTGAAAAAATTATTAAGGAAAGTTTCCAGCTGGAACTCCTGAAAAGCCCAGAAGCAGGAAAGAGACCCTCCAAATGCAAATACCACAAATGTAACAAGGCAGGCAGATACAAACCAGTCCCAGGTTCTGTTGTGGGATCAGCACAGACACAGAGGAAAAGCTGGAATGACCCCATAGGATACACCCACATGCACTGCCTGCTGGATTCCCTCCCCACAGCTGCCCTGGGGTGGCCAAGGCAGGCACTGCAGGTTTGTGGAAAATGGGCATTTCCCCAGGACTACCAGGGATGGCCAACTGGGGTGAAATGCCACACGTGACATTCCCACAGCAATGCTCCACTGCAGCATTCTCTTTCCTTGACTCCACTGTCCAAAGCCATGCTTGGAGCTGGCACAGCTGAGATGCATGCACATGGCAGCTGAACTATGCTGGGGTGAGGCACAGCTTTCCCAGAGGTCCCAGGCCTGCACTGGAACAACATCTCCACAGTGCACTGCTGTTCCTTTACTCCCTTGGGACCTCACAAAGCAGTAAAGGTTTTGGAGACGTGATCGGTCCTGGGATTTGCTGCCAGGCTGCCTCAAAGCCCAGGTCAGGCAGGTCTGTACGAATTAAACCACCCCAATTCTCTCCCAGAAGGCAGTAAGGGACACCATGGGCCGACCCGGCTTGGGAGATAGGGAACAATGCTGGGGCAGGAGAGAGGGAGAATAAGGGGTTCTACACACGGGTTCTTGGAGATCCCAAGCTCCTTACCTACCTGTGCATCGATGATTTTCTGCTTTGCATCAATGACAGCTTGCATCTCTGCGTGGTCCTTCTTCAGCTCCTCTTCAACAGCCATGAGTCTGATGAGCAGAGAGGGACAAATTAGGACAGTTTAATACTATTCCCGAGTGTTTCAGGTACTCTGGCCTGTTGGTTTGACTTCTGTGCTTGTCCTGGCTCTGACAAAGGAAGCAGGGAAGAATTCTGTTGCTCACAGGAAAGTTTATCTCTCCATCTGACACTCCCAATTGCCCAACCTTGTTATTCTTAGAATGGACACTGCCAAAAAAAATGCAACCGCTCTGACAAACTGATCTCACGAACGGATTCCAAACAAAGGAAAAAAGATCTGCAATAAGTACAACAGAGACCAGGGATAAAAATTCCTAAACATTTTCCTTTGCTGTTCTGACAATCTCAGGCAAGCTTCCCCACCTGCATCCCCGTTTCTTCACCTCTAGGACACGATGGAGAGAACACATGGCACAGGGGAGCCGCTTGTCCTGCCCACGCCCGAACTTTCCAAAGCCTCACCTGCTGATGATGCTTTTCATCTGGCTGTCCTTCTCCTCCTGCTGCCTGCGCAGTCTCTCCTCGCTGTCTTCCAGCCTAGACTTGTACTCCAGCAGCAGCTTCTGCATCTGCTGCTCCTGCACCAGGAGCCGCCGCTCGTACTCCTCGAGCCGGCGGCTGGACACGTGCAGGCGCTCCTTCAGCTTCGCTATCTCCTGCTCGTACTGCAGGGGGGGAAGGAGGTTTATATTGTGTTACTTTACGAATCAGATGCAAAGGAAAAAAAAGGAGATCAGATCATCGCAGTGCTCTGCTGCTCTTAAGAGGACGTTGGTTTGTTTTTTTTTTGAATGAGAAATAAGTTGATTGAAGTAAAGGAAGTGACAAGCAAACCTGGGGGCAACCAGAGAGAAGGAGCACGGAGGCTCCCACTGGGCATCAAGCTGCTCCCACGCTGTAGGGTGTCACTCTGCAGCACAGTTCAAGCAGTCAGGGGGCTCTGACATGGCTCTGAGTGGTAACATCTCCTGTTACTCCAGATCTGAGCAGTTCCCACACAGATGCTGCTAATGGTGCTCAACTGCTCAACTGGCCTGGGGTGCCCAAACCTCCAAACCAGACCCACGCAGGACACAAATAATTCTCTCTTCAGGACCTAACCAGGGCATGAAACCTCAGGTCAAGTCAGAGCAAACCAATCACTGCAGATCAGAGCCTGTCACGTTACTTGGTTGCTGTTTTGCCCTTCTGCTTCTTGTCTCTGTGGATAATCACTTAGTGCCATGGATCTCAACATATTTCTTTGTTTTGGGTTCATTCACCTTTCTTAACAATCTTACGTTCTGGCTTCTTTGTCCACTGAATGTTCTTCTCCTCACTCCCTGTCTTCTCAAAATACCAAAACTCTTACACAGCTCCATCCCCACAGCAGCATATGGATGTAACTGTATTTGGAAAAATGGGATCTACTTCTGAAAACACATATACTTTAAAAAAACAGATCATGAAGATTTCCATGCAGCCCAGAAACATTGCACTACCTGGGTGACAGGCATTTGCCTCAGGGAAAGCCCAAGACAATATTTGACTGCAGCTCCTGATGAAGGCTGAGCTGCATTTACCGAGCCCTGCACAGTCACTGAGCACATCCCAAGCTTTCCTCTGTCAGGTTAACAATCCTGATTTTTTTTTTTTTATGGAGTTAATGATCACTAAAACGTTTTGCAAGCAGAGAAGAATGGCAGAATGTTGTAGTTGTAGTGCATAAATAGAAAATAATAAAAACTAATGACTTGAGCAGGATGTAATACACTCGGGCAGCGTGACTCACGATGCACTGGGTGCCAGATACCAGGCTGTGATGTACAAGCTCAGCTCTGTCAGTTTGCTCCCATCTGACATGCTGCAGCCTGTAATCTGTGCTATGGGATGCTGTACTACAGGAATGTGTGGCAGCACGTCCAGCAGGAGCTCTGCCAATACAACCCGTGTGTGAACACGCGACACCGCGACAGCACGGCCTGAAAGCCCGTCCGAGCTCGGCTGTGGGGGCACAGGAGTCACTGGTACCCCTGAGCTGGCTGCACACAGAATAAAATCTACCTTCTCAGCGTGCTTGAGATCGTCCAGGCTCTGTGCTGTGTCCTTCTTGGCCTCCTCATACTGCCCGTTGTTGAACACCCAGGCCGCTGTCCTTTCCACTGGTGACAACGTGGCAGAGTCCACAGGTGACTGCACCTGGGGCAGAGACACCTGTGAGCATCCCTCAGTGAAACGACACACAAACCAGCTCTAAAATTCCCTTTACTTGGAGGAGAAAGACGCCCATGACTCTCTCAGTCTCCAAGGATCCCCAAAACCTCTCCTGCAGGGATACACCCTTGACTTTGATGTGCAGCAACTACCTGAACCCCTCTAAAACCAATGCACTTGAGATATTTTTCTTTCTCTCTAAGTTCCTGCTTCCCAAACCTGTTCTCCCCTTTGCCACAATGTCAATAAGGCTTTCTCACCCTGCCACGTCTCCCCCAGAGAAAACAGAGTGACAAAGCTTTGCTCACAGGTAGGACAGGTTGGTTTCCCTGGAGTGCTGAGGAGCTAAACTTGGGAGCAGCTTCCTCGGCCAGGTTTGGACAGACTAAAGTGGAACATGGGACTGCACAGCTTGGCTCTGGGACAGCACAGCAGGACTGGAACATGGCAGAGAGGTGTGACAATGTCATAGCAGTGCCTGCCAGATTTGGATGGTCCATTTGTAGCATCTGTGTCCAACCAGGGCCAGCAGTGCTGACTGGGAGAACTGTCCAACCTCTTTGGAGGCTCTCTCTCCTCTTTAGGGGAATCCAAAAAGGGTGCCAAGAAAAAAAAAACAACAAGAAACTCTGCGCCTGGCTGGGGAAAACATGGCTTGCTGCAAATTCCAAGCAATTTTCATGGACAAAGACGAGTTTATAAGCACAGGAATTAGCATAATTACCCTGAAAGAGCAACTCTGTCTTAAGTTTTTGAGAAATGCAAAAGACCAACTCCCCCCTGCAACTGCAGCTTCTTTTTGTGCCCAGGCAGCTCTTCAGCTCCCTGCCTGGCCTCCTGTTAAACCAAAGCACAATGTTCTCCCTGGCTGGGGGTTTTGTAGTCCCAGTTTCAGCCAGGAGCTCTCCATGGGGGAGGAACAGCTTCTTTAGGAGTGAGGGGTCACGTCACCCTCCCGTTGTGTTTCTCCTCCCAGGAGGACAGGGCTGGCTGGTGCTGCATCAGCTGCCACAGCCCCGCTGTCCTGAGCAGCCACAGACACTGCAGCACTGGAAGAAGCCTCAGTAAAGATGAGTGTAAAGGAGACGTGTAGGAATTAGAAAAAATTCCTGGATTTAGCAGAGGCCTTTTCCCTAGAAGGCAGTTTTCCCAGTAGACAGGCTAATAGCCCCCTATGTATATTGTGGCAGCCTGGCAAAGCTCCTTAATTCAGTTTTTTTTTGATGGCATTTGCTATCAGGCAGCCACAGCAAGGGAGACCATGAACTGTGTGTAACTCTGCCACCAACAGGCCCTTCCCAGGGGTAAATACTTTGGCTCTGTGAGTATCTGGAGAAATCAGGAACAGCGATGGATGAGCATTCACTGGAGTTATGGAGGACTAAGAAAGCAGAAATGTGACTACAGAGTAGTCCATGCCCAGCCATGTTCCCGACTGCTGAGCAGCAGCAAACCTGGTCAAACAACCTTGCAAGTTTAGGACAGATTATTTCCAGCAGCCAAACTCTGAAAGCCAACAAAGGCTAAGTGGATGGCAAGCACTTCACATGCTAATGGGTTATGAGTTACACTCTAATATAGAGGGGAAAAAAGAATCAGCCTGCTAGGATCATGTATTAATTCCCTTCTTTGCCTCTCTTCCAAAGGAACACACTGACATTTCTGTTCCCACCTACCTCCTAAATGGAAATGGAAGGCAAAAAGTGACCTCTCCCAGCAAACAAAGGGCCCAGCTCTACATTCAGAAACAAATGGGACTTGTAGAGAACAGAGTCCGACAATTATAACGCCCACAAAACATGCCTAGAAAGAACATGCCCAGAAAGAACATGCCCAGCTTCTCTCTTCTCTTTCTCTTTTTTTTTTTTTTTTAATAAGAACAGAATTCCACAACAAGATTTGCAATTAAAAGGACGCAATGGAATTTGCCTCAAAAAAAAAAATGTTGGCCACTCGATTTGGCAACACTTTGAGACGTTGTTCAAGGGTGTGGGGAAGGAAAGAACAAATTGATTTCTCTGAACAAAGCAGGAGCAAGTACTCTAATGAATCCAGTGGAAACAATTAGTATAGAAAATAGAGCAGGAAAATAAGTGGATGCACATCCCTTTCAAATTTATCCTTATTACTGGCCTAAAAATGCCCTGTCACCACCACACGAGGCCTAATTGTATTCCATAAACACCTACCCATGCCTCTGTGACCTAATGGGAAACATGGGAGGACACAAACATACCCACTTCAAATAATACACAATTGCTTTTTTGGGTATTACTAACTTGGCCTGTTAAAGCTTTGCTTTGTGATTCAGCGTTTCTGGTCTCGTACTTCAGTGAGCGTCAGGTACCAAAGCAGTTTTGAAGCCCTGATTGCTCCTGGGTTCCCAGGCATCATTCAGAGTTTCTGCCTTTAATTGTAACATTCAGGAGTTCGCCAAGAACGCTCCACTCACAGGGACAGCAGGAAAACCTTGGGCAGAGGTTGCTCTGCCAGCTTCACCTCACAGCCCAAAGCCTTCCTCCTGCAAAACCTCTGACCTGCACGTCGAGTTTTTTACCTTCACTGCAGTGCCAAGCATGTAAATGCTCACTTTCTCTTTAAAATGAAATTAACTCAGGAAAAGATTTTCCTACGTGGCAAAGCCCAACAGGATTATCATTATTTCTTTTAAAAATGGTAAAGGACTGTTGGCTTTTTGACAGGAAACCCTTGATTTAGAGTTGCCTCTGAACAACTGATAAAATGCATTAGGAGCTGGTAGATATAAGCACTCCTTTCCAGAAAATATCTGCATTATTCATAGTTTGGGATGATTAATGAAAAAAACAGCACTTATTTTAGGACCAGCAAGAGATTGTTTCATCATGGTGAAATATGGATTTCTCCACACTTTAGACAACCGTGCTTATTTGTTACTCTGGCAGCAGATTATTCCGAGATGTTTTATCTTTGTTCATTTCCCCGTTCTGAGGCAGCTCTGCTTTTAAATTAGCACCACAGGGCAAACTCAGTCTCACGTGGCAATCTGAACTTCCATTTGGAACAAAGCTGCTCCTGTTTTTTTTTTTTTTTTTTAATTCAGGGATTTTTTCCAGTCCTGTTTCTTTCAGCCGGTTTGCTGCTACCTTAGTAAATGGAAAGCAGTTCTTTTTGAATTTAGTACAAAAGCATCCCAGTGTAAGAGATAAGCTGGCTTGCCAAGCCCGCAATGGTGACAAGCATGACTAGTCCTTACGCTTGCCACCGGCTTAAGTGCTGCTGCTCTCGATTCAGCTCAACTCCAGGGTCAGGAGGCTTTGCAGGTCAAGGAGCAGTGGTTTGAACCCCCAAGCAGAGAGGCCTGAGCCAGGCTTTCCTTACCTGCTGTGTCTGCTGCCGCTGAATCGCCCGCACCTTGGGGACGGGGCTTTCCCTGGAGGAGGAGGACTGGTGGCGGGAGCGGTTCCCGTTCTGGATGGGCTCAGTGCCCATGGGCCCTGATGCCCCGGACATGCTGCCCGTGCTGCGCAGGGAAGGGCTGTGTGTCAGGGCTTGCACTGTCTTGGCCCTGGCGCCCAGCATGGCCTGGTCCATTTTGCGGATCTGGGCCTGGCTGCTGCTGTTCTGCCGGGGCAGCACCACCGGGACGTGCTTGTCCGTGCCCGCGGTGCGCTGGGACGAGTCCTCGCTCAGTGAGCTGCGCTTGGCAGAGTCCTCCAGGCTGCTGTTGCTGCGCCCGCTGGGCTTGAAGTCCTCGCTGTTGCTGCGGCTCCGGGAGCTGGCAGTGCTCAGGTTCTCCGGGCTGGAGTCCACAGAGGCCTTGGCCATCGGCGGGCTCGGGTTGTTGAGCTGGTAAACCGGGTTCTGGAATGAGAGAGGCCGGAGGCTGCCCTGTTGGTTCCAAGCCGGGTGCAGAGGCCTCCGAACCTGGGGAGCGCTCTGGGGGGTGCTCTGAGTGTCCCACAGCTGTTTGATATTGGCCACCTGGGTGACGGAGAGCTGGCTGCCGGCCAGGCGCAAAGGCACGTCGTGTATCATGGATCCAGAGTCATTGTGGGTCGTGTGAGGGTCCTGCAGGTCCATGAGGGAGATGCTACGTCCGTTGGGCAAGACACTTACCTTCTCATCCTTATCCGAGCACGTCATACTCTGGGTGGATGCCTGCTGAACCAGCAGTAAGGTCTTGCCCCTAAAATGTCCATCTACATTTTCCTGGGTTGGAGACTTCAGTCTATTTATGTCACTGTGGAGTGGAAAGGAATTTGGTTAATTTTTGAGCAGTCAAGACCCCGAGAGATCTGTCCCAGAGAAGTCCTTCTACCTCATTTAACCTCCCCCCACTGAAACCTTCAAGGAACCAGACTTCCTTTTATGAGCATTTCGTGTGCAAGTCAGAACACACTCTTCCTTAATTACTGCTTATCTTGGAGAATTGTGTTTGATTCAAGAAGTGCTTCATCTTTATGTTTTTTTTTTCAGAGGTGAAATCCAAACCATTCCCACCAAATCCTCCCCCCTTAGCCACATCTGCCTCCAACAGACTTCAGATCCCATTTAACCCTTTGCCAGCGCTATGGAACGAGTGGAAATGGCCTCAAATTGTGCCAGGGAAGGTTTAAATTGGATATTAGGTAAAATTTCTTCACCCAAAGGGTTGTCAAGCCCTGGTACAGGCTGCCCAGGGCAGTGGTGGAGTCACCACCCCTGAAGGGATTTAAAAGGAGAGTAGATGTGGCACTTGGAGATATTGTTTAGTGGTGGCCTTAGCAGTTCTGAGTTAACAGCTGAACTTGATAATCTTAGAGGGCTTTTCCAACCTTACTGATTCTATGACTCCATGTACTATGGAGGTCTGAAAATTCAGCAGGAGTTGTGTGAAGGCTCCTGTAGATCTGGATGTTAGCTCAGAGGGCAGAGAATTCCACATGACAAAACTGGCCCCCCTGACAGCAGAGAAACTACTCTGAAACTGCAGTAGCCGAGCTCTTTGGCAGTTCTGCCATGTCACAGCTCCAGATTAACAGCTGTTACAGCAGGAGAAATGCTGCACTAAACACAACAGGGACTAGTTTTGCTGTTCCACAAGTAATAAGTTCCACCTACAGCTCAGTTTTTCCATCAGCAGTAAATAAGCAGCCTGATGGCCAGAAGGAAACACAATGGCTGACTGTGCATCTGGACACCCAGGCCGGCAGTAAATCCTAAAATTGGTTTTAGCAGCTTAAGTCACTGACTCCCAGAGATGTGGTTGAGTCCTGGGTAAGTCCAAAGCTTCAGGTCCCCAGTGCCACCCTGAGAGAGGCCCAAGCTCCCCGTTCCACAGCTGGGCTGGGCAGCCAGTTGAGGTGACAAAGCACTCGACTCTTAGAATCACAGAACCACAGAAGGGTTGAAAGGGGACCTTGTTGTGGATTGTCTTGTTCCAACTCTTCACAGGTTCAACAACCCCACACACACCTGCCCTCCAGCCCTGGCTGGGACATACCCATCGGTGGGGTCCTCGGTTATCTTCTGAAGTCCTGAGGAGAGGCTTCCTGTGACATTTGGAGTGGAGCTGTGCTCAGTGAAACGCTTCAGCTGCTGCTGCGTTGGTGTGGGGTTGGTCATTGCTTTTGTGATATCCGCAAGAATACGAGGAAGGGGTCCCAGTTTTGCCACGGTTGCCTGTAGGAAGGAATTTTCACCCTAATTGGATACAAGCACCACGACATCCGCCGGGGTTTTGGTTTTTGGTAGCGGTGCCCGGAGGCGGAGGGATGGAGGTGGAAGGAAGGAGGGTGGGTGGTTGTGTGCGGGTGTGCCAGGATCGGAATGCAGTGTGTTATGGAGCAGTGCAACGACGGCGACCAGATGGATGGAGGAGACGAAACGGGGTGCGGCAGACATTGAGGAAAGAAAAGGAAATAGAAAAGAAATTAGGATTGACCCCCCAAAAATAAAAGACATGCTCAATAAAACAAAACTATTGCCATTCCAATGCAAAACTATCATGCAAAGCACACTAAGTCCAGGGTGGGTGAGGTCAAAGTGAAAACTACGGCATCTGTTCATTGAAGGGCATTCAAAGGCTACAGATCCAGCCAATGTGGGGAACTTTCCAGGCAGAGGGTGTCATGTGGTAAAGGAAATGCATGCCAACAGACAAGGGGATGTAGCACTCCAGGGGATCGTGAGGGGATCACAGGGGTTGAGGGTGATGGGGAAAGGGGAGGTTTTCTTCATCTCATAAGCCTGTCACTTTTGGCATCCTGCACCGACGCCTTCTCCTGGCGCACCAGTATCAACAGTGACGCCATTCTTCCCTACCTACACGTGAGAAACAACTGCATGAGAGCACCAAAGATCCTCATATCCCAATATCATCCTACCAGCATGGGATTAAATGTGTGGCTGCAGTTACAGGTTAGCTCAGTGCTGGCCAGGCCTGGGGTGAGAGCAGCTGGCCTTCAGCAAGGAAGGCTGCTCCTCCAGGCTCTGGTTTCCTCACCCCTTTGGGCCACTGCTGGGGTATCAGCTACAGGCCATCTCCAGGCTCTTGGGACTGCAGGAAGAAGGTGAAGATGCTGCATATTTATACAAAAAGTAAAAATCTGCTACAAAATCAATGCCCTTCTCGAAGATACCCTTATTTTCCTGTAGGCAGGTATTCAGTTGGGCTCCAGAGAAAGGTCTCTTTACAGACATTTCTGTGGCTATTAAAATCTCTGAGGTGACTTCTCTCGTCATTTCCCAGTTATTCCCTGCAGTAAAGCTGTATTGCATGTAACTTTACCCCTCAATTCTCTTTTTAGCAAATCCCTATACCAGTTCCCAAGGGCCTGCTAGGATAGATCCATGTGTCTAACCTATGGAAAAGGGCAATGCAGATCCATACATTTGGAAAGTACACTGTGTGCACATATGAGGGAAATGGAAAAACAAGATCACAACTTGTTATCCAACTAAGATTAATACATAGTCTTTTTGAGTCAAGGACATTTCAATTTACTCTGATGCAACAAGCTCAGTTTTGTGTTTTCTCTTTTAAATAATGCACTGTGAGAAAATAAGATACCCAACAAATAACTATTTTGGCAAACCTTAATGCAATAAAAATATTGAGTGCATTGCCATTCACCTCACCTCTCCAGTTTCAAAAGAAAGAATAATATAAATGGAATAAGGACAAAATAATGCATGTCTAAAAGTTGAAATATGGAACGGTTCCAAGCACTTGAAAAAAAGAAAGGACTCACAGCTCAGCTTTTCTGGGCCTTATCAACTACCTTTGCTATCAAGGTCTGAATGATTTTGGACCTTGCAAAGCCACACAGCTAAGGAAGAGCAAACTCCTGCCTTTCCTCCTTCTGCAGCTAAATGGAAGCAGTGTTTATTGTTGGTGGTGAATACTGGGATCAGAACAGAACCTGGACACTGCACCTGGACCTCAGCACAACCCACAGCAGAAAGCATCTTGCTTTTTTACAGGATGGCACTCGGGAGCGCATCCAGTTTTTCACATGGCATCCTCTTGTATGCCAAAATCAAAGACTACGGAAATGAGCCCATCTCAGCAGGCTTTGGATCAGGTCCTTGGTGAGAACAGTTCTGCAGGGCCAACACATTGCTCCACCAGAGCCAGGGGAGGGCCTGGTGCCCAGCAAAGCACCTCCCTCGGCACCAAAAGGGCACTGCAGCATTGCCACTGTCAGTCCAAACACCTCCCTTTTTTCCACCCTGCTTATGAGAAAGAACTGGCTGCTCAGGGAATTTCAGGTGTACTTTTAAGTGCTGCCTTCAGCACCTGACCTTCCTGAAGGCTCCCCAAAGTGTTTGCAGTGCTGCCCAAGCCCAACCACTTCACATGCCCCGCTACAGGCCTTGAGCCTCAATCGCGGAAGGAACAGTTGTGAAATATCCCCTCCAAACATTCCCCTCCAAAGCTCTTGGCTTCAGCTGCTCCCTTGATATTTCCCAGTGTTTACTGTTGCTATGATACCATCCCTAGATCCACCCTCCCAGGCCTCCAAAGGGCTTTACCTTATCAAGCTGGGACACAACCTCCCACAAGAGGGAATGCAGCACCGAGAGCTCTTTGCCCAGGTCGATGTAGCCGTCGTATCCAGGCATGTTGGAGATGCTATCTGGGTTAGAGAGCTCCCTCAGAAAACGCTGCATTCCTCCCCACTCGTGCTCCAGAAATTCGTTCATGAAGGCCATGTATTCTTCTTTGATACCAAACCTGCAGGGAAGGGAGGTGGGGGGAGAAAACCCAGTCATCAACCTCCACACGAAATAGAAAGTACAAGTGCTTGCAGACAGTTTACTTAAACACTGAACTTTAGACCTGCCTTTCTGAAGATCTGGAGTGCTTAAAAAAAAAAAGGAAGATTCAAAATCTGGAGATTTTGACTCCAAAATATGCAGATCTTGAAAATCTGAAGATTTTCAAGCCATGGACAATTTCTATTTTCTTGGACTTACTTAAATACTACTAATTCACTGTTCATATGACAGTCAAGGGCTCAACACATCTCTTCCCTCTCTCTCCCACAGTCTTTGTCTCTTTCCCTTCTCTGGATCTGCTCCCCTGTAAGAGATGTGCCGTGCCCTTTGTATCGTTCAGCTGGGAATTGCGGAGGAAGGAAGGAGGAAAATCACGATCCTGGGTGGGAACAGGCTTCTGTCGTGCGTTCTGCTAATGCACAACTCTTCCTGGTTTTACATCATGTGCCCTCCATAGAACTCAACACAGCTCCAATCTGCGTGTGGAAAGGAGAACTGATCTGAGGTGGCTCCAGGGGAACAGCACTCACACCCAACTGAGGAGTTTCCTTCTTTTCTAAACTGGCTTCGTTTTACCAGAGAATCAGCTGGCTGTGAGCACGACTGGGAACGAGGGCTCTGCTTGGCACCCCACAGATTTCAAGTTCATTGCCACCACCTACTTGGCAAAGTTGGCGAGGTTCTGGATGACTTTAGCAATGAGGGTGAGCGTGCGAGAGGTCTGGTCGTCAGGGTACTCCTGCATGAGGTTGAAGAGGCTGGGGGACATGATGGCAGGGCACAGGAAGCGGAGGAAGAGAGAGGCACTGATCAGGCGTTCACTGATGTCCTGCTTGCCCCTGTTCAGGCACTGCTGCTTCCAGGATGCAAATACCTCCTTCAGCTCGCGAGGGAACACGCTGAAAGACAAGAAAGCGGGAAATAAAATCGCACCGGCGACGAGATGCGAGAAGTTGAACTGGTGATCAGTCACCTGCAGTAATTATCTGAGAGAAAACATCATTAGCTCTTTTTTTTCACCTCCCCTTTTTCTCTCTCTAGGCTAGGTAATGTCATTAGGCATCTATTCATAGATCCCCATTTAATCTGGTGATACTTAAGCAGTCTTTAAAGCATCCCTTGTTCATATGAGTTAAGTGAAGCCATTTCCAGACATGCTGATTTGCAAGCTAAGAACTACTTAGCCATTGCTACCCTGGAGCAAACGGGGTGTTGGGAGTACTGAAAACAAACTGAACTCATCTCCATAACTGACAGTTTTACCTCGCTTGTTAAGCTCTCAATACTGTGCATGTGCTTCGTTCTGAAGCAGAAAGGCTCCTCTTCTTTCACTGCTCCTCAGAAACAGAGACTAATAGAAATCTCTCTGCCAGCACTTCCTCCTTGTGATTTCCTGTTCAATTCCACACACCTGAAGCGTCTAAAAGCTTTCTGTACACATCCAAACCTGCAGCTTTTTATGCCAAGTTCAAGCTGGGCTGTCATCTCCCCACTTTATTCCCTCCTTATCCAGTCACACTCAGTACGTGTTCCCTTGGCAGAGGATTTGGGCAGAAGCTCCTGCAGGTATGGTGTGTGTGGGCTGGGACCCTTCAACCTGGGCACAAATTCCATCTGCAATATGGTGCCACATGTAGGAAGGTGGAGGAGGGGAAAAGAAGGGAGGCTGGGAAGGTGGATGGGTCTGTGCTCATTCCTGGAACCACTGCTGTTCTCTCACTGTCAGGGGAGGAACAGGCACACTCTGAGCAAACATGGAGAAGGGGAGGGAAGATGCCTTACCAGTAGGAATTGATAATCTTGCAGAAGACCAGCTCACAGCACATTTTCAGGTTGCACTGATGATCTGCTAATTCACTCTGAGAACAACGGTTGGGGTCCACCTCGCAGTTTTCATCAGACTCATACACAGCTTTGATGAACTCCCCTGGAAAAAGGGAAGAGGATGAGAAACAGGGCTGGATACAGGAAAAGCCTACTTGATACACCTTTAAATCCTGATTATGTCTTCCCTTGGCAACTGCCTGTCCTGCTGCCAGTGTCTGCAGTACAGCCTCCAGACACCAGATGTTGGGGACAGGACTCCTCCCAGCCTCGTCCGAGCAGAGCACGGCCAGAGCTCTGATGCTTCAGCCTCCTGTGCCCTCACTGTCCCCAAGCACAGGTGTAAAAACAAGATGGCTTTGCCTTAGCAACCCTGCAGACACTTCACTTGGGGCCTAAAGAGGAGGATTTCACTTTGTATTCAAACCGTGTTATCAACCATAAATTATCCACAATCTGAGAAATGAAGCTCTGTGTTATTTTGTCCTTGTAATTTCTCCAGGAAATGCACCTGGCGATGATATTTATTTACATTATTTCTAAATATGCAATTTTTTCTAATTTTTAAAAAAGTGTCACCTTGCTCTTGAGTAAGAGTAATACCTGAGTTCTAGCTGGATGCTGCTAATTTTCACAGTCTCTTTATCAGCACCTTACAGCATTTTTATAGCCTGCATCTTTCAAACTCCCTGGCATTTCTGTCACCCTCCCCTTACAACAGAAGCTGCACACACACAAACCAGATGAAGTTGACTTTGTCTGACATACTGGAATGAACTGCTCACTAGTTTCCCTCTTCTATATGCAGGCACACTGAGTGGTTTTCAAACTGTTGGTGTTCACTCGGAAAAACTCTTTATTCACTGATTTAATGATTCAACGTCTTTCAAGTTCATCTCCTCAGATGATCTCGTTGGTTCCGAGCAAATGTCACAAGGCTTATTTGTGCTAAAGGGGTTTGTTTTCAGCCTTTGTCTTCCTCAAACACCTCCCACCCCTCCCCAGATCTCAACTCAGCAGTGTGTTGTTGCAAGCAAAGTAGGCAACGCGTTTTCTTTTTTTTTGTGATGGGGTCCAAAAAATTTCAGGCTAAGGCCATCTAGATCATCTCTTCGCAAAACTCTTGGCATCACCTCTCTTGAGCCAATTCTCTTCTAACTGTTGTTTACTGGATAGTATTTTTCTTCCTTAAACACATTTCGTGCTTACTCATTGTGGCCCACGAGACCCCGCCTTAATCATGTCTAATATGTCCTTACAGATGTGTTACGTCTCTAACACCAACTGTGGTGTCATCAATCCTTTCACAGAACATGGCAGTTGAGCAAAATGACATTTAGAACTTGATAAAGGATTCAAGGGGGATACTGTCATGAGCAATGCTGCCCCGAGACACAGACAGGCTGGACGACCTTCGGGGGATTTTTCCATCTCTCCTGTCTGTGATTTACCATCTTATCACTCAGTGCTAAATGATGTATTAGAAGTCATTAATGTTAAAATATTTTTATGCAATTACTGCACATTAAGGAGCTTGCAGTCAGATATAATGGAGTGGTCCCACAGCTGATGATGGCTCAGCCTGCTGGGAAGCACAGCACAAAGTACCACGGTGCTCGTTTCCCTGTACCAGGCAAGAGCCTACGACTGCCATTTACGCTCAGCGGTTCCACCCAGGAGAGTAAGAGCACCAGAACAGGCTCATTACACTTCAGAAATGGCCAAACTGGATATAATCACAGACCTGACTATGCTGACCCTTGGAGCACTAATTTAGCCAGCTATCTATCTCCTTGATGCCTTGCCAGCGTCTGGGACTGCTGAGGACAAGCGAGACTGCTGGGAAAGCAAGCTGCTTGGCTTTTTTTTTTTTCTTTTTCTTGTTTTTTTGAAAGGATGTGGTGTGGGACTTGGCTTTGGCCTGATCTTGTTTCCCTTGTATCAATTTCCAAAGCTTTCCTCATCCCAGAAACAGCAGGGGGATGGGTGGCTCCTTGGGCAATTGTGGATAATGCAGATTGTGCGGAGTTGGTAAAAGCTGACTGCAGGGTTTCTGTGGAAAACAGTGTGCTCTTGCTGCATTTGGGGGGACAGGAATTCCCAAGGCAGCGCCTTATGACTAGAGCAGAACCTTTTGGTGCAAGTGGGACAATAATACAAATATCAGAATCCACCCCAGCACATAACTGTGGACATTAGGACCCTGTGGGGGGAACGGAGTAGGAGATCCCAGGTTGGCCAGGCAGTTTTAATGAGGCAGTGAATAATGAGCACCTGGGATAAACACAGGCAGGAAGCTCCCCTGACAGGATACATCTTGATCTCCTGCCCTGGGATGCTCGGCAGCCCTGCAGCCTCACTCCCTGGCCTTCTTTCTCCAAGGACACTGTTTCAAAATCCCTTTTTTAAGCCTGTTTGTTTATCAGATGGAACAATCACCACTGCCCACAAAGAAACTGCAGTGTTACACCTTTTCATCCCACTAGGGAAAAGTTACCCAGAAAGATAGACCGTGGTAACAACAAGCTTTAAGAGGGACTCAGCTACGTCAAATCAACCTGCCTTGCCTTGGGTGCTGCTCCTGCAGGCACCAAAGAGGACCCTCCTCAGTGTGGAGGAAGAGCACTGAGAGCAAGACAAGAGTGTGTTTTGCTGTCTCCATACCAGACTTTCTTACCCAGTGCATCCTGAAGGTACTTCTGTCCTACCAACTTGAGGTACTCCTCAATAGCTTTGGTAGCAAGTGTGTTCTCCCTGAAGATCAAGACATCATGTTCCCCACAACGATCCACCTCAGCCATCACCAAATCAGTCAAGAAGTCCTGAAGAAAGAGGTCAGATGGCAAAGGTTGCTTTAACCAGACTCAGTTGTGCCAGGCTAACTGCAGAAGCCCAGAAGGAAGGATAAACAGAGGAGCCAGAGGATTACTGAAAATAATTGCTCAGCTTGGGACAAGGGGTGTGCAGCTGACATGTGAAATAAAGGCCAAGGAAATAGCCACGGCTCCTCTTGGGTTTATTATACTTACAAAATACTACAGATCACAAATTATAAAAGGAGAAGCAACAGTCTCTAAAAGAAAACCTTTATAGCCAAGCTCGTGTTTCAGTTTAGCTCCTGAAAAGAACCCCTCACCAGTTTGTTTATCTGTGGCTTTGTCTGATGAAAGAAACTGTGCTATTATATTTGTATTTTTATACAGAATATTCCATACAGAGCTGGACTTTAAAGTCCAGGTTGGAAGTGAGGCACAAGTTCTTACAACTTGGTGAAAATTAAATAAGAAGTATGGCATAATAAATTAGATTCACAGAAACAGTGTTTCTGGATTTGGGGAAAAAAGTTATTGTACTTGCTGTGGATCTGTATGACTTAACTTGAACTGTATTCAATTGCCCAGATAGGAACTATCAGCAAGCCTTGATACAGAGAATAACCTCTTGATATAAGGTCTAATTCTACAGTAATACTTATTTCCTGAAATGATAACTTTGTGTGAGGCAAGGACATTTAGTACTCTTGGTTTTTAATCCATTATTTCAAAAAAATACTAGAGAATTCTTTTCACCTGGTGCAAATTTGGAACATGCAGCTGCATTCCCATCAGAAACTGGAAATGCACCTTCTTGGGAGCTTTAGGTTATGGCAGCCTGAGCCACTCAGTGCTTCCCATAAACAGAGGTTCAAATCTTCACACACCAGGAATGCAAAGCTGTAACAGCTGGCACTGCAGGGATCCAGAGCCTGTTTTCCAGCAGGATTTCAATACAATCCCAGCTACCAGCTTCTCTCAGACAACTTGTTAAGGAACAAACTCCTATCACACATTTGTCACAGAGCACCAGCCTCCCGAGACGTACGTCCAGGAGCATGGTATTATGTAAACAGAAAAGGACCTTTTTGGAACAGTTAAATGAGGCTGTCTCTTGGATGTTGCTTATGGCCATCCTTCCACATCTCTGTCCCTCTGACTTGTGCTTGGTTGGGCTTAACTTGCTCCAACTGGCTTCACTGCAAGGAGCTGACTAGAGCGTGGTGCTGCTCACACACCCAGCTGGAGGCGGCTCCCAGATAAATCAACGTCCCTTAATGCTTCTCAGAATTGCCCAGGACCCGCAGGATAACTCTCCCACGATCCATGTGAAGCAATCAGTGTGCACCCAGAAGTCCTAGCAACATCCTTGGGGCAGGTGGGATCACCATTAACTCGGTATAGATTCTCCAAGTGGCTGTTCAAACGCCAGCCAAATCGATGACGGCATCGATTCGCTGACTCAGCGCTGACTCAGCGCTGGCACCCACTGCTCATTGTATCACAGACTTATTTAGGGAAGATTCTATTTGGAGAATTCTTCAGTTTATCCATCTCTTGCTTTTTTGACTCTTAACCTATACCCTGATTTTAGAAATGCAGGAAAGGTTCCTGAACATTCAAGTGTAGGCCCTAATTTTTCAGAAGAACACAAAGATCTGAACTCCCTATGCTTACACTCTGTACACAGCATCTTCCGCTGTTGCTTACAGCCATGGGCTCCCCAGTTTCCACCTGAAATCACCCATCAGTAGCCAGAGTCGCTCCAACAGGAGTCACCTGTGCTTACCTTTGCTCTCCCAGTGCTCTGAAGAATGTGCACCAAGGCACAAGCCATCTCCTCCTTGTTCTTGACGCTGATCACGGGTTCCAGCACGGAGCACAGCAGGCTGTAGTTGCTGGTAACATACTCTCCAAATTCTTTGTATTGCTCCATGGGCAGGATGGTGATGGTCTGGTAACGGGACTTGATCCGAATGGAAGGCCCCCCAGACTTCCCCTTGTTGGCTGTAGGAGTGCTCACTGGGTACCATTTCTCCACAAACTGGCGACTGGTCACGCTGGCCGTGGGAATGTTGACCAGCCCTACGTAATTGTTCTTGTCCTTTTTCTTTTTCTTCTCCACGTCCTTGTAGATGTGAACTGTGATGCTCTCAACCTGTGGCAGAGTGTAGAACTCGAAGTGCTCCCCCCAGAAGATGTTGTCCGCTTTAGCTTTGCTGGTGGTGCGGGCAAAGAGAGTGTCATCAAGGCACAGCTCACAGAAATATTTCTTCTTGGGGGTCAGGTCCTTGGCCTCAATGATCCAGAGGCGCAGCACGTTCTCAATTCGACGGCAATTATCCTGTGCAGAAGAAAGAGCTCAGTTTTGATCCCAAATCCCGAAAAGTTCTGTCTCCGAAAGCAGCCTTTTGAGTCTGAGGTAAGGACAGTGTCAGAATTCAGCATCAGACTGATCCAGAGAAAACTAGAATCTCTGGAAAACTGAACATTTTCTAAAACAGAGGCAAAGGGATGTCTTTCGTGTGTCAAGGGTGGGGACTAGAAGATTTTTCTTCTTCAAAAGCTGTATTTGAAATGCTTTAGAAAACAAACACGCTGCACAGGAGCCCCTCAAAAGCTGCTGGACTGGTGTGGCACGCTGCCTTGTTTACTCTCGTGAGTAACTCCCAGAGCACTGTTTGCCTGTCCCTGGGAGGTGGGATGCCAGCTCTGCAGTGACTTATCAGATCCTCCTTCTCACTCCAGCTCCAATTACTTTTATTTTTGGTTTTTGTTTTGTTTTTTTTTCCCCCCTCCCCCAACTGGGCCCTACAGTAAAACATGACCCTTAGGAAGCTACTGCCCCATCCTCGGGGGCAGGGCAGCAGAACTCCAGCGTGCAGGATGCTAGGCAGGCCCTGGGGCAGGGATGGGCGTGTATTTACTCACTAAAGGTTTGACCTACTGCACTCCCTGGAACAGCACACGGCAGCTTTAGGCACACGGATGAGAGGACGGCTCCCCAGACTAAATTAATTGAGGATGCATCTGTGGGAAGCCCTGGTGCACCGGACTAAAATCCAATCATACCACCTCCATTCCCCTGCTAATCTTATTTCCGCAGTTCCCATTACCTTCATCGGCTGTGATATTCGGCGTATGTTTTCCATCCACCAGTCCCTCTCTGCTGCAGAGGAACAACTGAAGCATTTACTGCCCTTGGAGTAGGTTACCTGCAACGGGTAAATGACAGGCTGAGTTCAGGCAAGCCTGGGAGACATGTATGAGGCTGCAAAAAGCAAAGGAGATAAGCAGTGCTCGAGTAACAAAGTAAATAAGAAAAAGGCAGGTGACTGGCACAGCAGCCTGAAAGGGAGAAAGGTTTAAAGGCCCACAAAATGCAGGGAGCAAAAAACCCCTCTGAATTTATATAAAATTAAACAAACATATGAGGAGCAGCAGAGGCTTCTCTTAAAGACTTTTAAACAAAGCTTTAATCAACCAGTTAATTTATTTTTTTTTAAACAGCTGTTAATTAATCCATAGCTATTAAAGCTTGCTGTTTTTCCTGTTAAGGCCCAGAGGCAGATGACTTGGTTACCAACAATGTAAGGGCAGGCAGAACGAACAATGCATTAATATAAGGCAAAACACACTAGAAACGATGACTTCAGTAAATAAAAAAAGTATTTCCAAGGGTCCACACAGGCAGCAACAGTCTAAAACAAACTGAGGGAGCTGTGCTCTGCTGCAGCCACACCACTCACTGCCATACACTGCTCTGCTTTCCCACAGGAGGGAACCACCTCAGTTTCTTGCACTGTTACGTGGCCTGACAAGCCTCATTTACTCTTTCCATTCATTTGTGCACACAATTACAAAGCAGTTTGGGGCTGCAGCGTCACAGCTAAGCTGTTGCCAGTATTTTCCACCCAACTCCCCAAACCAAAGCAAGCTGCAAAGTGCTTCCAACCAGAAGAATGAGGCTGAAGCAAACAGGAACACTCCCTGGATACATCCCGGGGGAGCAGAGCTCGATATGCTGGTTTACTGCCAGAATTTTCCAGGCTGTAAACAGATCTTTGTTCCAGAAGTTTAGACCCATCTGACTAATCCTGCAGAAGACAGAGAGCCACCCGGCCCCGCCATGGGCAGGTGACGATGGCTGAGCTGCATCCAAACACACACAATCCCTGCTGGAGCTGTGAGGGGAGGACTCCGCTCACACACACGGCCTGTTCCTGGTGCAGAGCTCGGAGCCACGGCCTGCAGCCTCTGCTGGAAGAGCAAAAGGATCTTTGGATCCTGCTCCACAGCACGAGGGACACGTCCCTGGTCACTGAGGCTTCTCCTCTGGCAGCAGAACGGGCTGTGCTAATGGAAGGGGGCTCTGACTGGAAAGTCCATTTCTCGGTTACAGTAAATTTTCTAAATTTAATTGTAGGTGAATTTGGACGTGAACACACAGCTTACGTCCATACTACTGCAGGTTCATTGCACCGCACAGACCAACTGGACATTTGCACGCAAACCACACGCGCTCAGATATTTATCGAATTAGAGAGATTTTTCAATTAGGAGACCTGGTAATTGAAAAAGATTCCTCCCTGTTGAGTGATTGATGCCCATTAGCCTCAAGGACTTTAAAATCACGTGCCGGTTCAGCAGCCTCCACCCAAAACTCGGCACGGCAGCCAATCTATTTTCCAGTTCCCAAGTCCCAGAGCAGTGATCTCCAAGGGCTCAGGGAGACTGAGAGCTGCGTGTTTGGAGCTCACCTCGAAGCAGAAGTCCCGTGCAAGGATGCTGCTGTGCAGTGGTTTGACATAAACTGCTTCTTCTGCCGAGAAATCCAGAGTCTCGAGGATGGTGTCGTGGTTCAGTAAAGACTCATGGGAACGCGACTCCTTCAGCTTGGGCAGCTCCCGTGGTCTGCAGGGCAAGAGGGAAAGGAAGCGTCACTTTTCTCACAATTACCAAAAGAGCTGGCAAGATCCCAGACAAAGCTGCAGCTTGTTGGTGCTTATTCAGAACAACTTCTGCAATTAGTCTGCAAACCTTATGAAAATAACATTAGGCCAGTAACCCCAGACTCCCAAGGGAATACCCAGCTACATATGCCTAGGAAGTCCGTTCCCACTGACCTAGAAATCATAGCTGCTAAGCTGTCAGTGAAAGAAAAACAGCACCACAAAAAGTTCAGAACTTAACTGCTGAAATTTAAAGAAAACCCATAGATAGCTTTGGACATATTACTGAAAATATTTGTTACTAGCTGGACTAGTAGAAAAATATTGTGTATTAGCAGCAAAAAGCACACGGAGCCCTAAATCTGTAACCAATGCAGAATGAGAGCAGATGCTCTTGATTTTTAAGAAACAAAACTTTTACACTCAAGTCAAATATGCAAATTCCTTCCCACTTCACAAATGCTTAAGTCAGTCACCTGCATTCCTCAGGCTTCTTCCAGTTTGAACTATTTCCCATTTTCTGGATATATCCATTCTCTTTTAACTTCTCCTCACTAATGCTCGTGGCTTCTCCTTTTCAGTCAACTGTCCTGTAAACCCTTGAGCTCCACCACAGCTGGCATCCCCCAAATTCACAGCACCTTTTTATCAAGGCAGCCTTCTCTTTGTCCCCACCAATTCTTGAATATTTCTCAAAGACATGTCCCTCCTTCCACCACAGCACAGCTTTTGGCAAACAACAGCACCATTATAAAACATGCTCTAACACTTTCTGTTCTCTCCCAGTTGGATTTAATGCGACATTTGTGCATAGCAGAGAGCTCTGCTGTCACCCAGCACTGCAAAACATGCCCATTTATAGGTGACATGGTTCCATCTCTGCTCCTTCTGACTCCAAAGTGACACCTGGACAAGAAGCTCCTGCAATAAAGTGATATAATACTTGAGGCACAACCTGCATCTCAAGGTAAACGCCATGTACAGACACATCATATTTTTCCTGGGAAAAAGTCCTGGCTGGAATTCAGTCAAAGCCTTCACAGTTGACCAACAAGCAGGAAGAGCACAGAGTTCCAGCTTAGCAGAAAAGGAGCTGTTTACGTGGCAGGTGTAGATTTTGTAAAGATATTGAAGCCCCTATGGTCAGTGATCCCTGCGAGTGTATCCATAATGTAGCTGCCCATCCAGCAAGTGTGACTGAGCACAAGGAACAGATATGAAAGCAGAGAGGCATCAGCTCTCTACACATCACCTAGAGAAGGGTGGTGCTCCTGTGTCCATCCTCAGAGTATTCCCTCTTTTTTCCCCTTAATTTCAAAAAGTAATTAGTTTTTCTATACTTCCTTTACAAATCTTATAAAAAAACCCCAAAACTCATATTCTGCATCCTTCGCTAAATCAAAATTCTCCTACCTGTGACCAACTCTATAGGGAAACAAAGAGATAAAAATTCCAAACATATGGAAAAGGCTTCTTAACAAGACCTTGGGTACCACAAAGGGTACATGCAATGCAACAAGCAGAGCTCACCTGACTGCTCTCTTGTCCAGAATGAAACGCTGAAGGTATTCGAGCAGATTCACACGCGATAAGATTTATTACACAGTAAGGGAGAACTCTGTTCCCTTTTAATATATTGAATGACCTAAGTGCAGCCAGCAAAACCCTTTGATGGGAGGAATATTCCAAAGACACTGATTTCAGATGCAAAGCAGCAGCCCTGGTACGAGGCTGTGCTTTGTTCTAACAGGTTCCAGCAGCAGCTGAACCAACGCAAACCGAAAACCTCAGCCACGTATAATTGAGCACTTGCTGCAGTTAAGGTAGGGCAAGTCTAAAATAAACACACCACAATACACCACTTTAATGCCATCTCTGCAAAACACTCTCTAATTTCTCCTCTCAAGAAAGCACTGCTGAGGTCACTTGGCTTCTGTCCCTGCCCCAAACTCTCAGCGATTCCAGTCCTTACGAAGCACTTGGGTGCTGAGAGCCTGCAGCCAGCTCCTGGTTGAGGAAGGAAAGCATGGAGTGGTGGGAAGAGGAGGAAGAGGAAGGGAAAGATAAATGATTGCCAAAGAAAGGAGAAAGAAAAAGAGATTTTGCAAATCCCAGTTCAGCGGAGGCTGCACTTGGAGCGAGACAAGGCAAGCAGACCTACATGAAACAATTGTACAGCCACTTAGCAGTGCATCCCCAAACCATAGCGGTGCCACATGCCACGGCCCTTCCCTGCAAACTTCCTTCTCTGGGCTACATCTCAGATAAGAAATCCTGCTGGGGGAGGAAGAAAGGCACAAGACAAATCCAAGAGGACTTCTTCCTCAAGCCTCAGGTTACAGATTTCAGCCGAACATCCTGCCAGGCAGATAGGCTGGGGCAGGGGGAGCAGCCAGTGAAGAAAGCTCTCTCTCCTCGGTGGCTGCGCTCCCACCAACCCCACGAGTGCTCAGAGAGGCTCCCAGGAGAGGCTCCCAGGTCCATGTTGTCATGACACAGCCTCCCCTAAGGAGATTAGGGAGGGCTGGCAGCCCAGAGAGGCAGCAGGCGAGGGGAGGCCGCTCCGCAGGCGTGGCAAAGGTGACCTTTCCAGAGAGGGAAGTTCCCTCCTCCTCGTCCTTTCCTATGAATTTGATGAGATCCGGTCATTAAAACCAGAGGGAGAGAGCGAGTCATCTGCCAAAAAAGCCTCCAAACAGCCTCTGGGGACAGGGCAGGGACAAGGGCAGGTATACACACACACTGACTGCACTCCCTGTCTCCACATCCCATCCCACAAGTTACACCTTGTAGTAGCATCTCTTGCGCTCCATCGCTCCTCTGACTGGGCAGCTGGGAGCATTTGGGTTTGCTGCAGAGCAGCTGGAGCACTGCTAGTTTTGTTGACTCAGGGTCCCTGTTTGAACAATCCCTTGAAGTTACTGTACTTAAAACAGCTCAATAAACTGATTAAGTGGCTTAGAATTGGCGCTGTGTCTCCCACAAACATCAGAGCAACAGTCGTAAAGCTGTTGGTTAGATGCAACCACATGCATTTACAAACACAAGCACATGCATTTGTAAGCACCACGGTATAGATTTCATCTACTGATAGATCTGCAAAGCAGATCATTGACTTGTGCCTAAATCAGCAGCATCCCAATCGATGTAGGCAATAATTATACAGAAATCATAGTTCTCTGCAGCTTTAAAGCCTCATCTGATATGCTGAAGCAGTAACAAGGAAAGGAAATTGCTTGCTGGCTTCCCTTTGGCATAGATGCCACGAATTTATTTCCCAATGTCCAGCAAAGGGGCTGGATTAACAGGGTCCTTCCTGCATTAGGTAGGAAGCTACTGGTAAAATGAGTGTTGCTCAGTCTCTGTCAGGAGAGAGGTAATCCCAGGGAAGCAGATTACTGTAAACAGGAAGATCACACATGCAAAAGGTGGGGGAAGGGTTGTTTGTACAAATCTGTTTCTGTTAAACAGCTCCATTAACAACACAAATCCTGTTTTAAATTACAGTTCACCTCCCGCTATCAACTTTTTATCCTGCTGCTTTTTCTATCTACAACAGAGACTGCGAAGGAACTACGTGGGAGTTCAGAGCAAACAGTTACCAAAGCACCAAATAATTCTTACACAGGTATTCTCCATACTTTCTTTCCAATAGGAAGAACAGGCAGAGGAGGAGCACGTCAGGGACATTTTAAACTTCTCACCTCTTTTCACCTGTTTTGGGGTACTGGTCTTCAGAGCTGCATCATTTCCTTCTAAATCAGAGCCCAGACAATGCTCCAAACCACTGACCTGTGACTGCTACTGGAAAAAGAGTTCTCCAACCATCCCATCTTGCTGGCCCAGCCCCTAGCTGACCCTCTCTCCTTGCCCACTGTAATTCAGTACTTTTCCACGACAGGAAGATCTCAGTTGTAAGCTGGGAAATGGGAACCTCTGGCTTTCAGTGGCCACCCATGGCACACAGCAGCCTATTAGCCAACTTCTATTATATTCCACCGTCTGTAAGGCACGTAGGATAAAGGGTTAAAATGCTAATTGCTACGGTTATGAAGCTCTCCTGCTGGTTTTGATCTCTTTAAAAGCCAACCTACAAGGCACAAAAAGACTTCCAATTATTGAGTTTACCAGGGAGAGCACTACTTTGCTTGGAAAACAAGCCTGTGGATATCAATAACCCGAAAGATTAAAAAAAAAAACCAAAAACACCACATTTAAAAATGAACTTTCTTTTACCAAACTGGCATGAAAGGCGAGAACACTCAAGTACCCAACTACTAAAGCAGCCAAACCTCCACCTGGCCTCGCAGGGAGCTGCACACTGCAAGTAATTTCAGCACAATCCCCGCATGTTTAGAGACACTCCCCGAGATCAGAAAGTCAAATTCAATACTTAGCCACTCTGCCAAGTCTCTGGGCTGTGATGCAGGGGGCTTCCTGCTGCCATTCCAGCTCCCAGCCCTGCCGAGCAGGGCCGTACCTTCCTCAGCATCACCTGCGAGGCACCTCCGCTCTGCCAGGGCTGCAGCACCAGGTTTCCCTGTCCGAGCCTTCATTTTGTAGGCACCACACCCAGCTTCGTTTTCCAACTGCCAATTAGCTGAACATCCCATTACCTGGTCAACAATTCTACAAGTCTAACCAGTTTCATTATTAATTTTTTTTTTCCCTCCAAAAATCAGAAACTTAGGGTAACTTATTTAGCTGCAAGTTCTACTCAGGTGAGATTAGGCTTTTTCTCAGCCTGTTGTTTCAGTCTTCCACTGCAGTTCTGTTTTCTTTTTTCTGGCAAGGTCCTACCGAAAGCCTCATTGTTTGAATCCTGGATTTGCAAAGCCCTTCCCTGACTGCCCACTCTCCCTGTGCATCACAGCTTGCCTAACAGACACCTCTCAGGATGAATTTGACAGCAGGAGAGTTCTCCTTGTCTCTGCTATTAACGTTTCCAATTGTTGTTTTTTTTTTTTGATGGACCAGAGATGTCAATTGATTCACTTTCATTTCACTGCTCAACTAGAGGTGAATGCTATGAGGAGGAGCCCAGGCTTTGCCCAAAAGCATCGGCCATTAGGAAATATGTTTTTATTAAGGGGAAGGTTTGTGACAGCCACTGGGAACTTTTTCAGTTTTCACTGAAAACCAAGCAACTGTGTGAGGACTGAAAAAACCTTGGCTGAAAGAACTATGTCCACCAAACCAGGAGAGAGGCATCTCTCCGGAAACAAACCACTCCTCCCCTCTACCCCATCCTCCAGCGTGCTGATAGCAACAGATATACTGAATGGATGCAAGCTCAGAGTGAGTCAAGCCTTAATAAGCCATTGTGTAACACAGATTTCTATCCTGACATCTAACCCAGGGTGAAAATCCCCCACCCTTTTTCAAAACCCGGCATTAAATTAGCACAAACCCGAAAAACCCAGCAAGTTTTGCTTCTATTACCTACACGATCGGTGCTATTTTCTCACTGCAAAGACAGGGGGAGGGGGGAGAGAGAACTCACCGAAAGTAGAAGAAGCTGCTGCTGGAGGAGTGGCACCGTTTCACCATGAACCCCAGAGCCATGGTTACCTGCTCCCCTGCAACCTGCCGGCGCCCATTCCGAGCCAGCACACGGCGGATCCCTCGCCCCACTCGGCCCCCGCGCCGCGGCTCTCTCGTAATGCCATGAAATGACTTTCAGCAAAGCAGGAGGATTCCCACGTGGCACTAAATCCCAACAGGGCAAAACCCTCCCAGCTGTCTGCAGGGCTTTGCTGCAGTCGCCGAGACCATATGCAGCCAGTCCCAACAGTGTTCGTCCCCTCACCGTAAACAAAACTGTTGGTCCTCTTGGAAATACTCTCAAATTCCTGGCCTCAAATTGAAAATGTTCATTTGGTCTCTCCTTTCAAACGTAATTTTCATTAAGTCTTTTCTCGTGCTTTTATAAACACGTTTTATATATTAATGATACTCATTAATACGCAACAAACTCATTAGTATGTCACAAATTAGTAACGACAAGCATTAAAGATGAACACGAGTGCTGAAAGGCTCAAAGGATGCAGCAGGAGAACAGGCTGGGGAAGCTGTGAAAGCTGCTGCGGTGACAGGGTGCCAGGTCACCTCACAGAGAGAGCTCTTGGCAACCTGGGGAGCTGCTGTACTGGCCACACACCTGAAGAGCCTCATTCCCACCCGCCGTGGGTCACAACCCAGCAGAGCCTGAGCCTTTCCACACTGGTGCCTTGTAAAGACAAAATACACGTTTTCAAGCACGACAGACCACCCAGCAAACAACCTGAACCCCAGTAACAGAAGGGATGTGAATTCCAGACTGAGAGGCTGTGGATTTCTACAGGACACCTGGATGCTGATCCACGTTTCTGGAGGGGCACCACAGCTCTCTCCACTTCCCCCATCCACTATTCCAGACACACTGAAATAAAGTTAACAGCCAGAAAAGGCAGGTTGGCCAATTGCTTTCCGCTGAAACAGAAAATCTGATTAAGAAAAATCTGCAACTCATCTCCATCACTGCTCCCTTCGGCATTCCTGGCTCCTTTCTATTTTGAATCAACTCTGAACAGACACCATCCATCCTCTGTTCCTATTCAGTGTGGCATGCAGTGTTACAGTATCCCAAATCTTGATGTACACCAGGATAAATAATCTTCCTTACTCCAGAATTTTGGAGATATTTATCTATAAACATCTCCACTTTGTTAGCAGGACCCAAAGATCTCGAAAGCATGAGAAAGCAATATGACAGTAGCCTCTATTTCCTTCTAATCCTTGCAGAGTTTTGATTTATAAAGCTGTATAATACTTTCTTTGAAGGCAGGGCTCTTGTATTTGTCAGAACAGGAAAAGAGAAATGCTATCAGTCAACCTGGCCCTAATAACCTGTGTAACACCATGACATCACCTAGAACCACCTGCTTAAAATGGGAAAGGGTTGACTCACCTGGGTAGGACAGGAAAGTTTTTGCTGCAACAGATCAAGACTCAGACAGAACACAGGGAGAACAGAAAGTGAGAGAGTGGCAGTTCCTCCTCCTGAATTTAGAGTCAGCTGCTGTGTTCAATAATGCCACCATGTGACAAAGCACCTGGATTTTACGCTTTTGCAGGCCATCAGAGAAAATCCACGTTTCACTCAAGCCTAGCTGATAATTTGTGCCAACACTGGCAGGGAGTAGAAGGGGACAGGGAGTAGATCTATTTTTAAAGAGACTTTGCTGTGTGTAACATCATGCCTTAAACCAAAGTTGTAGGAATTAATTATAGCTACATTTATTGGCTTTCCCGGAATGACAGCGCTTCCTTGACAATGCAGAAGCAAGTATCCAGTACAAGTACCAAGCTCAGGAAGGACAACCAGATTATTTGTGGCATATTTATTACAAAAATTCAAGCAAAGTTGGTTACAAACCAGTAAAAATAACAGGTACTTGAGCTCCTTTTATAGCCACGTTGCAATACCCTGAAAATACAGATTTATAAGAAAAAACTTGACTGAAAGCAGACTGGGTGGACATTACCATGACTGTAGGAGCAAGGCCATCCCCATGGACAGTCACAGCTGGGAAGCAGCAGGGTTTGCTGTAACTCCTGGCATTAACAGACCTCCAGCATCCCCAGCCTTGCTGGGAGATCCCTGATTTTATGGTGCTGCCTTTCAGATGGAGAAGACAGCACCATTGATTGAAGCAGCACAGCATGACAGATACAACTAATGAATTCTACTCTGCCAAAGGAGAAGGGAAAAGGCACTACACAATGTAAAAATCACAGAAGCCTGGCGTGGCCTCGAGTACGGGGCAACCTGTTTTTCACTCAGTCTAGGTCTCCTGCTGGGCTACTGTGGAATGCAACACAGAGTAATGTTTAATAAAAACAATCAAGAGACTTTACAAATAGTTAGGAAACACCGTGTGTAGGAGCTTTTGATTGCCTCATGTACAATCCATTCCCAGCCTGAATCGCCAGCCAAAAACTAAACAAGGATACACCAAATGAAGGACTAAAAGGGTCAGAAATTACTGAGTTTTCCAGTTTTCTGAAAAACAGACCATCTGTTCATTGCAGTAACACTGCAATAATTAAAATACCAGCACTGCAATCATTAGCAAGGATCCTTGGTGTGCCTGAACTGCACTGGGCACCTCAAGGCTCTTCCAGCGCTGGAGGAACCGACCTGCTCACACCAACACAATTCCTCATCTCAGCCACAGCACTGATCTGCAGGCAAGCACTGCCTCCAGCAAGGCAAATTTCTCCAAAGCTGATCAATCCCATGGCTTTGTATCATGGAATTGGAACTCTGCAGCTTAATTGAGACAGATGCAGCAAAACGTATATTGGAGTCCATCTGCTTAACCCGAACTCATCGACAGCTGCTCAGAGCAGCAAAGTTTGCAGTCCTGTATCAGCAGGACATTGTACACTAAACTTCTGTGTCAGTCCACAAACCACCCATCTGCCAGCTGCACAATAAACCCTTTCCTTGCCCTCCTCCTGGGAGTGCTCACACGTGCTGTGTGAGGCACTGAACCTTACCTGTCCTCGGAATTGTTGGGAGATGGGAGACGGAAGCTTATGTTCCTGTCCAACTTGGACTGGCTCTTTGTCCTCTTGATGGATCCCTTCAGGCGTTTACTGAAGAAGCCCTAAAATGAGAAGTTGCAGAAGTGAGACAGGGAAAGTGATGCCAGTAATAAATCAATCACTGCACTGCCTCCGAGTCCAAAGGCAGCGGTGATTCCCGGTGATGCCCATCACAGAACAGCCTGCTCTGGGATTCCTCTGAGCAGGAAGGAAGGCAGAGCAGGATTGTCAGTGACAGTTCCAGGGTGTAATCACTTCCAATTGCAATAATTAGCACTGCTCACATTACGGGGGCACTTCAGTGAATTCCAACTCTTAAACAAGAGAAACCCCACAATTACCATTTAATATTTGTTCCTACTAATTCATTATATTTGTTCCTACTTCCCCTTTACACGCCATGTTTTTAATTCCTGGTGAGCTTAAGAGTACAGATGTCTTTTACTATGAGCTTCTATTGTGCCCGCAATTGCACTTAGCTTTTCCTTTTTTAATTTAGATATATCACACTAAATCTTACAGTAATTTGAAATGTCAACAGTCTCACTTACCAGAATTGAAAATTTCAAGATTTCACACACCAGTGACTTCAGATATCAATTATGGTGTTGATACGAAGGAAAGCTCAACTCAGAAATCTACTTAGGTTCTAAAAATAAACTAAATCTTCAAGAAATCTCTTTCAAAATGCAACTGTTTACCAAACAATTGCAGCCCAAAGCCATGTGACTTGGAGGGAGCCTCTGGGGATCATCTCCTGCTCAGTGGGGATGTACTGCCAACACTAGGTCAGACTAACTCTGACTTGGTCTTGCTAAGTCAGGAAAACCTCTGGAGACAGAGGGAACAGAGGAAGGGTAGTCTGTTCTCTGCATCTGAAGGCAGGGCTGCATTTAAGGCTGCCCTTCAATCTCTGAGGCTTGCCAGCCAGCAGGTTCCTCAGGGGTGAAAGCTGCTATCTTCTCCTGACACAGTGGAAAAGAAAAAGGCCTTCTATCTAAATATAGGAAAAAAACACCCCAAAACCCCACCCCTCAAATGTACACAGGATGCTGGGGGAAAAGGTACCGAGAAAAGGGAAGAAGCATTTTCAGCTCTGTGTGTGCCACTCAAACTCTGCCCGTGATCTTGCACTTTCCTTAGTCCTGGTATTGAAAAAGTGCCTTTGAAAAACCCCTGTAATCAATAGATGCTCTTGGGCTTCTCTTGGGGCCACTGCTGGAATTCAAGTAGAGGATGCACAGCGGTTTCAAAGGCACTTTCATATATGCTGACCTCTCAGCATAAGAGGTAACAAACCCAGCCACAGAGATTCAGACCTGGTGGACCCTGGCTTCAGTCCAGCACCTCTCACATTGCAAACATGAAATAACATGTTTTTCTCCCCTTAAGGGCAAATAAGACAAAGCTGACACAATTCAGCAGGGGTGCAAATGTATTTATATTGAATCGTTCCAAACCCCACTCAGAGAAGGACGGTGAATATTCATTTTTGTGTGCATGTACAATTTTAAATTGGTTGTGCTTTAACATTGCTGAAACATGTTCTGGTTTTAATTGAACATGATCTACTCCCTAATGGAACATTAATGCTGTCTGGGGTTGAACAGGGCTATCCAGTCCTGATAGCACCAAAAAAAAAAAAAAAAAGGGTAAGAGCATATTTAAAGATAAAAGTTATTCAAACAAAGGGTGTTCTAACTGGTCATCCTCAAAAGGCTCGAAAACATTTGCAATTATTTGCTCTGTGCACCTTGCTGGCAGCTCATGCAGAGCCAGTGCTTACAGATGGACAACCTGGGAGCAGCATGAAAAATTCACGTGCCAGAACTGAGCAGAGTTTTTCAGACTTCCATTTGCCAAAGGAAATGCTTTTAAATACTGAATGCAGACATAAAAAAGGATGCAGTGATGAAAAACAAACTTCTATCTGCAGCAACACCAGCTAACTGGAAGTTTTATTTCCTCGTGCTACTGTAAAGAAGAAATCCCTGCCAAGGTTTATAATGCAGCTTGTATCATTAAAAAGACAAACCCATGGTTATTGCTTTTCTTATTGTCTGGGTATTTCATTTAAATACTTATTTCAACACAAAACAGACTCCTGTGTGGTTCTTATACCTAAAAGGAATGAAGTGGTTGAGCTTTAAGAATCATCACGAAACTTCTTTCAAAACAGTGGGAATTTTACTGCTTAAGCAAACACCCTCAGACAAAAATAAGTAAATTTCTTACCCAAACTCCCGGAAATGATGAGGTTATGTTCTTAATAAAAAAAGTACAAATATTTGGTTGGATAAAACGCCTAGGATGCAATTTGAAGAGATCAGTACCGTGTAAACACAGTGTTTCAAGAGGAGACCAGCGAGAGAATAACTGCACAAGAACTGTGCCTTAATCCTTTGAGAGAGAGATTTGAGGGTCACACTCAGTGGGACGAAGTTCAATACAAATTCCCCTCAGAACCACAGGAGGTTTAGGGGAACAGGGATGGAAAGGAGAGACGGGGAGAGTGAGCAGTGGAACACAAGCACACACATAATCTGTGCAACAGGCTCAGGGCAGGTTTGTCATCTCACCCAAAAGCATCAAACACTGGGGTAAAAAATCCCAATGAAACAGCATCTAAAAATAATTCAATCCCACTGAGAATTCTAGTCATCTCATTTGGAAGTTAAGCAACTTGACTCTCACTCTGCCAAAATCTCCATAGGAGATGGGATAATTCACCAGGCTGTTGGAACTTCCCTCCATAGCTGCACGGGGAAAGTACAGAAACTCTGACCCCCAAAGTATTTCCAACCCAGGGGAGGTGGCTGTTGAGGGCAGCTTTGGCTTTAGGAAATGCTCACTCCAAAGATGCCAACTGTGTGTTTGTCCTTAACCTCAGAGCAGCACGTGAACTGTCCAACAAATTCAGAGACAGCCCCAGTAGGAGCTACTCAACTCCTTGGCTGCTGCTCCCACAGACACAACGATTCCTCACTCTGGGGAGAACTGCCCATGCATAATAAATAACGATTGTCTTGGTTGCTTTGAAAGGGAAAGGTTAATTCAGCCACGAACAAATAAAAGTGTATATAACCAAACACTAATTATCCATTGACACAGCGCAGTGGCACTAGTGGAATTTTCAAAGCACTAAAACCAGGTGAAATGGGTGAGAAAAAGGTTCATCTTAGACACAAAGCTGTTTCCTACGCTGGCTCTTTCTGAGGACAAACACATTTGCCTTTGGGAGCTTTGCAACACATCTTGAACATCTTTAATTCTCGATGAGGAGCACCAATGCATTATTAATAACACCAGGTGGGCAACTTCATTTACAGAGCCATGAGACTTATTCTCTCCGAGGGGAAGGGTTGGATGGGTACAAAGATAACCCTCAAGTGACCGTGGATGACAGCAGAACTGCCTCCTCGCTGCTGTGTGTGGTGAGGACATCAAGCTTTTTATTTCTCAAGATGCTCACAAGCAGCTATCAAGAAAAGAAAAAATAATGCCATAGCCAAGTGAAAATGCTCTCCTGTGCCAGCAACATTGTAAAGCTATGGGAGGCAAAGAAGCAGGGGAAGATAGCCAGTTTGGAAAATGGAAAGATAAAACTAGCAGGATATTCTAGGAACGAGCAGCAAACATGGAGAAGTTAACTATTCCCTACAAAACAACACCACAAGGCCAATCTAACTGGCAAAGAGGTGGAGAAGTTTGCTTATAGCCCAATAACACTCAATATTAAAATATGAGCAGTGACTGCCTTCAAAAAGTCTCTCAGCCACTCATACAGTAGAAAAGCAGAGGAAAACAACTCTGGATACACCTTGGAGGCAAAATACAGAACAAGAGAGTGACTTACACAGTCACACTCCACCATCAACCCATCCAAAAAACCTGGCACTATGTCACTTGAAGAGGTGGTTTGTGCACAGGCAGAAAACAATAAAAAACATGTTTGAATGTACAAACAAAGGATAAAGCCTGATAAAAGTAAAGTGGTGTTATGTAAATCTGCCATAGCTTTCTCCCTAATGCATCACTCCCCTGGTTTTCTCATCTCAGCAAGAAAACTAGAACAAAACAGAACTCCAGAAGTATAAACTGATTAAAGGCAGACAAGAGGGGGATTTATAAATGATAAGTTTTAAAGACCAACTATTTATTTTAGGAACAAAAGCAAGAAGGGATTATAGATGTATAAAACAAATAGAATGGAAATTACCTAAGCTCCTCATGGACCCTGTTACATCAGAAAACCAAGGGGCAATTTCACATGAGAGGCAGTACATTTCCCTGACTGTCAGGAAACCTTTCCTAATGCTGTCTATAAATGAGCCCATCCAATTCTCCACCACAAGATATTATACAGACAATTTTTTTTTCAGCAAGATTAAAAAAGGATTATGTGTTTATATAAGGAAGAATAACATATGTAGCTGCATTAGTCAGGTTTAAAAATAACAAGAGTGAGCAATAATCATGCTTCAGGACACAAGCTGATCAACAGCAAGGATCAGGAAAGATATTTTTCCCCTGATGGGACAGCACTGCAGATTTGGCCGGATAACAATTTCAACTTTCCAATGAAAAACGGTCTACAGCCACAGGAGGGATGCAGAATAGGATGAACAAGTTTAGGAAGAGTAATAAGAAACCCAAGGAAATGCAGAGGATACTGTAACAGTGATACAGTGATGATACACCTGCTAATAAAATGCATTATAAGATTGCTTGCATTCTGCATGATATGCAGTCAAAAGTACTAAAGGAATCAAATTTCCAAGTCACTGGCAATTAAACCAGAAAATTCATGAAGAAGCAAGAACTACCTGATAACCAGGGAGGGCCACATCAGCTTTTCAGATCCCAGTTCAGCATGGACACAACTGGGAGCAGAGCCTGGCTGCCCTTGCGGGACCTGCCCAAACAGGGCCCAGCAGAAGGAAAGAGCATCCTTAAAAGCCCCTATCCAGGAATTAGGGAGTAAAGGTCAGAAGCCTGGCTGAAGAACAACAAAGCACGGTGATAGACAACATAGACGATAAGAAGCAGGTCACCTGAGCCT